GCCCGCAACTCGCCCGCAACTATCTTGCTATAAAACCAAGATGCACACCTGAACTCGCCCTTGAAAGCCTACCTCTCACTATCGCCACAATCGCTACATCTCCACCATGGCACCCGGAATCCTAGAGACGGGTTCTACGGTCGCGGTTGAGAAGCCGAGCAGCCTGTCTGCCTTGACCGAGGACTGGGATGACACTATTCGGTTCTATCTCAACGGCACAAAGGTTGCGGTTGATACGATCAACCCGGAAGTGACTCTACTCGAATACCTGCGGGGTATTGGTTTGACAGGTACAAAGCTTGGATGTGCCGAGGGAGGCTGTGGTGCTTGCACTGTGGTGGGTCTCAGTCAACTATATCGGGTTATGCACCTAGTGCTAACCAGAGGGTTATCTGGTCAATAGGTCGTCTCCCATATCAATCCCACAACGAAGAAAATCTACCATGCCTCCGTGAATGCCTGTATTGCCCCGCTCGTTAGCATTGACGGTAAGCATGTTATCACAGTCGAAGGCATTGGGAATATGAAGGACCCCCACGCCATCCAGCAGCGGATTGCGGTCGGTAATGGAAGCCAATGTGGTTTCTGCACTCCTGGTATAGTCATGGTACGCCTATGTGGCCCTTTTGCTTGATTCGCTTTTTGGAGGGAATCTGAAGTTGACTGATAGCTTCAAGTCTCTTTATGCCTTGCTGCGGAACAACCCATCTCCCTCGGAGCATGATGTTGAAGAAGCTTTCGATGGAAATCTTTGCCGCTGCACGGGTTACCGACCTATCCTAGATGCTGCTCAGAGCTTCAACTCGACGAACAACTGTGGAAAGGCCTCTGCCAATGGTGGGTCAGGCTGCTGCATGGAGAAAAACGGCTCCGGTGGTTGCTGTAAAGGGTCTTCCACCAACACTGGAGAGAACGAGACAGTCGATTATAAGTTCCCTGCGCCGGACTTCAAGCCATACAGTTCAGACACAGAGTTGATCTTCCCTGCCGCCCTCCGGAAACACGAATACCGACCCTTAGCATATGGCAACAAGAAGAAGAAATGGTACCGACCAGTGACCGTCGAGCAACTGTTGCAGATTAAGAACGTCCACCCAGACGCCAAACTAATTGGTGGAAGCACGGAGACACAAATTGAGATTAAGTTCAAGGCAATGCGATACGCGGCCTCCGTCTATCTGGGAGACATCCCCGAATTGCGACAATTTACCTTGCACGACGATTATTTGGAGATCGGTGCAAATGTGTCGTTGACGGACCTCGAGCACATCTGTGACCAAGCGGTAGAGAAATACGGCGATGCCAGAGGCCAACCTTTTAAAGCAATCAAGAAGCAGTTGCTCTACTTCGCTGGGCGACAGATCCGAAATGTCGCTTCCCCAGCAGGTAACCTGGCCACTGCATCGCCCATCTCTGATCTTAACCCGGTTTTGGTAGCAACGAACACTATCCTCGTGGCGAAATCCCTCGAAGGCGAGACTGAAATTCCAATGACCGAATTCTTCCAAGGATACAGAAAGACCGCCCTCGCCCCCAACGCAATCATCGCTAGCCTGCGCATTCCAGCCGCGAAGGCACAGGGAGAGCACATGCGGGCCTACAAACAGGCCAAGCGGAAGGACGATGATATTGCCATTGTCAATTCCGCCTTACGCGTGACTCTTTCTGAGACCAACGATGTGGTCAGTGCCAATCTTGTTTTTGGTGGCATGGCAGCCATGACCGTCTCAGCGAAGAATGCCGAGGCGTTTTTGGTTGGCAAGAAGTTTACGAACCCCGCTACCCTGGAGGGAGTCATGAGTGCACTGGAGCAGGATTTCAACCTGCCGTTTGGAGTTCCTGGCGGTATGGCTAGTTACCGGAAGTCTTTGGCTCTGGGCTTCTTCTACAGATTCTACTACGATGTACTTTCAGGACTCGATGTGAAGGCTTCGGATCTAGATCCAGATGTTGTTGCTGAGATTGAGAGAGCAATTTCTACCGGATCAAAAGACCTTGAGACCTCCGTCGCCTATCAACAGAAGATTCTTGGACGAGCAACTCCGCATGTTGCGGCGTTGAAGCAGTCCACTGGCGAGGCACAATACACGGATGATATTCCCGTGCAACAGAATGAGTTATTCGCCTGCATGCTTCTGTCTACTAAGCCTCATGCCAAGATCCTCAGCGTTGACACATCCGCGGCGTTGGACATTCCGGGAGTTGTGGACTACGTGGACCACACGGATCTCCCTAACCCACAAGCAAACTGGTGGGGGCAGCCCAAGTCCGATGAGCTTTTCTTTGCCGTCGATGAAGTTACTACTGCTGGTCAACCGATTGGTTTGGTTCTGGCGACTAGTGCTAAAATTGCCGAGGAAGGTATGAGGGCTATCAAGGTCGAATATGAAGACCTCCCGAGCATCCTTACGATTGAGGAGGCCATTGAAGCGGAGTCTTACTTTGAGCACTATCGTTACATCAAGAACGGTGACACCGAGGAAGCTTTCAAACAAGCTGACCACATCTTTACTGGAGTCTCGCGAATGGGCGGCCAGGAGCACTTTTACCTGGAGACCCAAGCCTGCGTGGCAATTCCAAAGCCGGAGGATGGTGAAATGGAGATTTGGAGTGGTACACAGAATCCTACCGAAACGTGAGTAGCGATATGCTTTATTTCTCATGCGGAATATAAACTAATCCTTTACAGACAAGCCTATGTCGCTCAGGTGACAGGTGTATCTGCGAATAAAATTGTATCGCGTGTGAAGCGACTTGGTGGTGGCTTTGGCGGCAAGGAGTCGCGATCTGTCCAGCTGGCTGGTCTTTGTGCCACTGCCGCCGCAAAAACAAGACGACCTGTGCGGTGTATGCTCAACCGTGATGAAGATATATTGACTTCCGGTCAACGTCATCCGTTCCTCTGCCGATGGAAGGTTGGTGTGACCAAAGAAGGAAAACTTCTTGCGCTTGATGCAGATGTATATGCCAACGGAGGTCACACGCAAGATCTATCAGGTGCCATTGTGGAGCGAAGTTTGTCGCACATTGATGGCGTGTATAAAATACCGAATGTGAACGTGCGCGGCCGGATCTGCAAAACCAATACCGTGTCAAACACAGCTTTCCGTGGCTTTGGCGGTCCGCAAGGCCTGTTCTTCGCTGAGAGTTATATATCGGAGATTGCAGATCACCTGGATATTCCAGCCGAAGAGATCCGGGCCATCAACATGTACAAGCCAGATGATACGACGCATTTCAACCAGTCTCTCAAGGATTGGTATGTGCCGTTGATGTACAAGCAGGTGCTAGAGGAGAGCTCTTACAAAGAGCGTCGGAAGGCTGTTGAGGAGTACAATGCGCGGCACAAGTGGTCCAAACGTGGGATGGCGATCGTGCCAACCAAGTTCGGTATCTCCTTCACAGCTCTCTTTTTGAACCAAGCAGGGGCTTTAGTTCACATCTACCACGACGGCAGTGTCCTCGTAGCACACGGCGGTGTTGAAATGGGACAAGGCCTCCACACAAAGATGACCATGATCGCCGCCGAAGCGTTGCAAGTGCCGCAGGCGAGCGTCTTCATTTCCGAGACAGCGACCAATACAGTGGCCAATACCTCCGCAACCGCTGCTTCAGCCAGCTCCGATCTCAACGGCTACGCCATATTCAATGCATGTGAACAGATCAACGAACGTCTACGTCCTTTCCGTGAGAAGATGCCCAATGCCACCATGAAAGAACTTGCCCACGCGGCTTACTTCGCCCGTGTCAACCTCTCCGCACAAGGATACTACCGTACTCCGGATATCGGCTACGTATGGGGCGAGAACAGTGGCCAAATGTTCTTCTACTTCACACAAGGTGTCACGGCAGCCGAAGTCCAGATCGACACACTGACAGGTGATTGGACGCCTCTACGCGCCGACGTGAAAATGGATGTGGGTCACAGTATCAACCCCTCAGTGGACTACGGCCAGATCGAAGGCGCCTTTATACAAGGACAAGGTCTTTTCACTACAGAAGAGAGTCTCTGGCATCGTGCCTCGGGTCAGATATTCACCAGAGGCCCGGGCAACTACAAGATTCCTGGCTTCCGTGATATCCCGCAGATTTTCAATGTGAGTTTGCTGAAGGATGTGAAGTGGGAGAACCTGCGCACTATTCAACGCTCTCGTGGAGTCGGCGAGCCACCCTTGTTTATGGGTAGTGCCGTCTTCTTTGCCATTCGTGACGCCTTGAAGGCTGCACGTAAGCAGTGGAACGTGAATGACGTGCTTTCTTTAGAGTCCCCTGCTACACCTGAGCGTATTCGGATTAGCTGTGCTGATCCGATTATTGAACGGGTGAGAGTGCAGCCCAAGGAGGGGGAGAAGAGCTTCTTTGTTGCCATATAGTGGCTACGACTTCATGGCCTACGATTTGTATGAGATTATGCCCTGTCTTGGAGCTTATGTTTAGTATATTGTAAGACAATCAAATTGAAACCTGTTCTATCATGTTTATACCGATTTGGGATGTGTTATACGAGGTCTAATTCTAGGATGATGTTTCGACACGACTCGCAGATGGGAAATATTGATTTTGGAATCAAGTGGTATTCTTGATTCTATAGAAGCGCTACCTTTATTGGAAATTATTATGACAGAACACCAGCCCCATATAGAAACAAATGACCAGGGGAAGTACAATGAAATGCCGGAGATGGCAGAAAGCGAAAGGGAGAATTCAGAGCACAAGTTCGTAAGAAAAGCGAAGATCAAACGAAAGATGGAGGAAGACAAGATTATATTTCCCGTCATCGCTTCACATCATATTCAACGTAGCTACTTCCCCTTAGATCAGGACCTGAGTCCACCTGCAATGCATGTCCATAATTCCTTTGCCCTGCAAAGCCAACCTTCTCATCACCATATGATGACTGTTCATTCCGTACAGGCGCGGACGCTGCCGCCGCCGCCGTGTACTGAGGAACAATGTGTCCATCTCCAGATATATTTCTCGGAACCGCAGTAAGCGGAACTTCAGTAAAGCCATTCGGATCTTGGGACGGTGGCCCGCCATCGGGCACGGGATCCAGGACATGACCCCGACCCCCCCTCGCCGCGGTGCTTGTCGCGGCTCCAGAAAAGCATCATGGCGCGAGTGATACCAATCAAGGCGATGAACACCCAGAGAAGGAGGATGACAGTGGCAATAATGGCTTCCATTCGTACGGCTTCTTCGAGCTTGTTGATCACGGTCATGACGACCTCGGTGATTTTGTTGGCTGTTTGGTCGCCTGCATCGGCGAGGAAACTATCAGAGGGGTTGGAGCTGTCGTTGATGCTGGAGGAGGCGCCGGCGGAGAATGTGTCGTTTGGAAGGGTGGGGAGCGAGATATGTGCGTGCTCAGCTACCCAGTTCAGACCCTTTTGGAGTGCCTCTGCTTTGAGGCCGATGAGGCACTCGTATAGTTCGTAGACGGGCTCTTGTAACAGAGTACCTTTGAAGGTCTCGTTTAGTACGCTGGATGTGTTGTAGATGAAGAAGTTTAGAGTCCCGTTTATGGCTTGCGTGCTGCTGTTGACCCAGCCGAAGACGTTGTGGTTTAGGTCGGTGTCGAGATCCATGATGGCCTTGTTGGCGTCGGTAGCCCAATCTGTCGAGGCACTCTCTAGTGAGTCAACGACCTTGTCTGCGAATTCTCCCACCTCGGCACTCAATGCTGGGACTGTTTGCTTCACCGAGTGCAGGAGCAGGTATTGGCACAGACAAGAGAATAGTGCTGCCAGTGCAAGAGCCAGCACGAAAAGAGCAGGGATGGATGTTGCATAGGCAATGGCCCATCGCACGAGGATCTGTCGGCGGCTGTTACTGAAGTGACTTGCTGCCTTGATACCCGCAGCCGCGGTGTATGGCCGAGAGACAATGTACACAACATCCATTGGATCATGGGCTTCCTTGCGAACCAGCTGGGAGCGCTCTTTCATTGAGCGCCATCGGCGGATTTCCTGCCATGCGATTGGAATGCACACCAATATGGCAGCCACAACGAGGACAGCAATGAATATTTTGCGTGCCTTTAGTGCTAACTCGGTGACCCCGTTAAAGAAATCGTTGATGCCTTTGTTGTCGTTGCAGAAGGCCAACTGTTTCTTGGCAGGGACCGGGAGAGCAGACCGATCGAAGCTGTAAGCGCCCAAAGTGCCGTTGACCAAGTCCTTGACTTCTTGAAAGGGTGTTTGAAAGAGGGTCTTGGTGTAATTCTGGATTTCTTTGAAGTTGGGAAGGACGACGCTGTCCAGCTCTTCGACCGTGTGGTTGACCGACGACGGAAGAGACAGATTCTCCAGTGCACTGATCGAGCTGTTGAGATTGATTGGGCTAGGATCGTCCGAGAACACACTGGCCACTTTGTTGATTGTCTCGAGGAATGAGTTCAATTCGTCTTTATATTCATCGACCGTACTCTCAATCTCGCCACTGATTGTCTGGAGGGTTTTGTTGATCCATTCAGTAGCCTCTTTGACCAATTCGATGCCGGCCCCTACTGTGCCGCGGACGGCCATTGTAATGAGACAGGCGTAGGTGGAGTACATCATATTAATGACAAACCAGAGGATCTCCCCAACGCCCGTGATAGTCAACAACAACACGGACTTTAGGGCAGAAACAGCCTCATCAACTGAGGAAGCCACAAGCTCATTGGTCCCCTTGGATAGGTAGTACGGCATTGAAGCCATCGCACTACCCATGGATTCCACTGACGTGCATGCAGAGAGCGCCTCACGCTTGGCGGATGCCATGTTGGACTGCAAGTCGCCGACTGCAATCAATACTCGGAACAGAATAAGCAGTAAAAGTATTGTCCATCGATTGATCCATACTTGTGAAAGTCGAGCTCGCAGACCGAGATAGGGAGTGAGGCCATCCGGATGTAGAGGAATTATCCGCCCCGTGCTTGAGTCGTGAGCTCCATAAGGCGGGAGCAGTGGAAAGATGGACCGCCCAGATCGGGAGAATACCATTGTAGTGTATTTTCTTTTTCTTTTCGAATAGATAATTGCCAAATGTTTCAGAGGTGATCTCGTCCAGCGAAGACCGGGAATGCTTGGAGGCGTAATTAAGTCAAGGGAAAATATGCAAAGCCTGCATCAAAACGGAGTGTTCTTAGATGAAGATAAAGAGAGCAAAGGAAAAGAGCCGGACTAGTGAAGGGACATGGTGTATATAATTTCTTATAGATGTTGAATGAATGGGGGGGGTCAATAGATGAATAGAAGAGAACAATAGAATGAAAATGAAAGGGACAATGAATCTTCAAATATAGCAGTCAGCAAGACGTCACCTGAAAACTGTCAGACATCTTGGGCGGCAGCAGACATTGCAATAGTCCAATGTTGCTCATAAAGAAGCAGTTGAATGGACCTTGGCAACCCCGTATAGTCGAGACAGCCCCAATCAGAGCGAACCATAACGATTTCGAAACAAAGAAAGTATAAAAATAAAGACTGAAGACAAGGAGTCTGTGCAATGGTTTGTTTCATGAAGCATCAGAGCGTCTCACTGGCTACTTTGAGTGTCAAAAGCGCCGGAGTGGACAATCAGCCAAATATAGCCATGGGCGCTTAGCCGCCCACGACTGAGAGCCAATAGGCGGACAGCAAGGGCCAGTCGATCTTAACATCATGCTTGTACAGATATTTGGTCCCTTGTCATGTGGGTAGACGATACGCATGTTGTTTGACATCCCTTGGGGTTTAGTCCTTGTTCTGGCTGTTGCCGCTTAATTCGGTGATTTCGTGTGATTCGATTCACCGACTCGCTCACTCGAGTGCAGAGCAGAATTTCCACACGCACAACTTTTGGTGATAGAAAGATAAGTAATCATATTGCAATATATTCCATTATTATTATAAGTTATTTAACAAGTCCACCAAAGGTTGAGATGTGTGAAAAAAGTACTTGATGCTTATTCGAGTTGTGGTCGCCGGCGTTAAAAGGGATGTGTCACGTGATATTCACCGAGCTCGTAAGAAACGTGACAGCACGTGACAAACTCGCACCCTAACAACTTGCAACGACATGCCGTGCATTCTATGATAAGAAGCCTGCAGGATTTGGAATTCTTCTTGTGCTGCGTTAATCTATGATATTTACGAATATACAACTGCATTACTGGCTTTTTGAAGTACAATTTCCAATCTCTTATGCATGCAAAGAAGATTGATATAAGCAAAGGTGAAATTGAATTCCTGAATCTGTAGCTAAAATACATTAAAGCCAGCGCAAGAACAGGTCTGTTAACAGGGTCAGAAACGCCACCGCTGTTCATGCGGCCTCCGATCCTTTATGTCAGTTCCTCGATTTCGTCTTTGGTTAGTTGGCGTTGCAAAGACAGCTCAATAACGAGGATGTCGCGAAAATTGACACCGTCTTTAATCAGTTGGTGGTGAATGGCTGCTCGATAGCGAGGAATATCACGGAAATTGACACCCGTCTTTCAATATATAACTTCAATGGCGAATATGATATCGACATGGTGTGGTTCAGGATTTGCAAGGAGGTGACAAGCAGCTTGAAGTCGTATCGTTTTCATCTTTCAACATTGAACTGCATGGTCAGGGCGTTTGTTCAATACGGCGACCTCGTATCACGTATTTTCATGCTCTAGGGACGGAAACTCACGGAATATTCCGGCCCAGACAAGCCCCAGTATGGTTTCTTGAGATGCACAACCGTACCTCGATGAGAACCATAAATACCATCGAGGCTACTCCATACCTCGATGTTTCAATTGATTTTGACAATATCGAAGAAACAAGTGCTCAGAAAATGCAAATGTATGTATCTTCATTTCTATCACGCTCGCCCGGTCAGTCGTGACTTCCGATTGAAGAATCTCTGACAGTAGCACGTGCATAGTGTTTGTCTCATCCATCGTGTCGAATCTTGAAGCTTGTCTCTTTTGAGTTCTTCATCTTCGACTCGTCCGAATCATTTTCTTTCAATCCTCTCTCCCACGCACAACAATTGAGGTTTTCAGTGCGCTCCTTCTCATCCCCTTGATCTCCTTGAGCTTCAAGCTCTTGGTCAAAGAGACAAAACTTGCCATCGTGACGAATGACCCAAGATCCACAAGTAAGTTGTCGCACATACTCACGCGTTGGGTCGCCACCAACACTTATGGACCTTGGCTGATTCAAATAGCCCACAACACGCACACCCATTTATCTGGTTGGTGCGCTGATTCTCATCCCCTTGATCTCCTTGAGCTAAAAGCTATCGGTCAAAGAGACAAAGCTTGCTTTTATGACGGATGACCCAGGAATTCGCGAAGTAAGTTGTTGCGCATATTCACGCGTTGGGTCACCATCAACACCCATGAACATTGGCTGATGATGCATGATTTAAATAGCATCCACAACACGCACACTCATACCTGTGACTTGTGTATGTCCCTTTTCATCCCTTTGATCTCCTTGAGTCACAAAGCCCTTTGTGAAAGAGAAAAAGCTTGTTTTGTCTCATGGTGCATGCGTGAGCCAGGCTTTGCACAGTAAGTTGCCGCACATTCTCACGCGCTGGGTCACCACCGACACCCACGGACCATGACCCAGGGACCTGCATGATTGAGCAGCATCCACAATCCTTTTTGTGAGATCAAGGCTCAGTGCCTTTAAGTGTTTTAAGGACCAATCTTGGTAAGTCGCTTGTCGTGAAGTCGTGTCTCTCATCATTCTGTCGACTGATGCATGGTCGGGGTAGTGCACATACAATCAGGCGCGTCCTCGACTTCCACCAACACACATGGACCTTGGCTGATTATTGCAATAGCGTCCACAATCTTTCATTTGAGAACAAATCTCGCAACCTCTAGTTGAGGCCGATCCCGGTAAGGCATTTGCGTTGAAGCCATACCACTCAAACGGCCCCGCCGACTGACACATGGTCAAGACAGTCCATACAGTCTCTTGCATGAGACCAAAACAATCTTGGACCGAAGAGAGCCCTGTGCCGACCAAAGAGTATTTGGTAAGCTCATCATGCAGCTCCTCCATGCGCCTCAACTGACACATCAAAAACCCAGTGAGCGGCAAGATTGCTGTTGGCTTTTGCCGATTGTCAAGTGAGTCCTCTTGTTAACTGTGGTATTGGATATCGATGGACCTCAACTAATGCAGAGTCAGTTAAATTCCAATACCGGACAGAGAACATCAAATACCTTATTCTTATTTCCACTCGGTATGTCTTCCAATCCAAGGGGAATCAGAACTCGATAGAGAGTCGCTAACCGACGAGATCAATTCCACAGTTTATCATCACCATCAGATGAAATGCCTACTGTCTTCAGCAAGTTTGCCGATGTTGAGATTTCGTCCCACGATCTCCAACCTACACCTGTACAGGGACAGGACGAAAAGTCGGAATCGCACACCCAGCTGCCCAGCTCCGATGTATATCAAGTGAGCCGAGCCGAGTTGGAACAGCTCAAGGCAATTCTAGGGGAGATTGTGACAGAGAGACGCCTCATAGACTCCCAGCTCGAAGCCATAAAGCAACATCCCACAGTCGAAGGCCGTGTGCCAGAACTGCTCAATCCTCCGTCAATTAGAGCCGAGATGGGGCCTACCGAGGCAAGCAGATCCCCAAGGGCAGACATCGACATGACTCAGTCCAAGTCACGAAATTGGACGGATAAACGGGCTGGGCTCACTCTGGACAATGGGCAGCTGAGGCTGAGGATTGAGGAGTGGCGGACCCGTGCTCCGATATTCCGCGTGGAGAACAACACCAAGGGTAACCCGAAGTGCGACCTTGATGCAGCGATTGAAAGCCCTGAGCTCGTGCGTGTTGACTTTAAGATCCCCATCGATTACCCAGAGGGCATGTTGGGAATCATGAGATCGATTGAAGCGCTCTTCACGTCTCCAAAGAGGATCGCCATGAGCAACGTCGAGACCGGTTCCGCACCGGCTTGCCGAGAGGCAACGAACCCCAAGCGGCACAGCTATTACATGAAATGGACAGCCCCATGGGAATCATCCGGCTGCCGAGTAAGCTGGATGAAGGCGAAAGAAAAGTCGTCAACCCTAAGGTTCAAGTTTGTGAGTGGCAGGAATGCCAACCCCGGGGAGCAGATGATGGTCACTGTTGACGAGCGTGACCATTTCTACCGGAAGATCTCTAAAAATGACCCTGTCAGTATAAAGACTTGACGAGTAATCATGGGATCTAACTAACATATCACAGAACACTTACGGCAAATGGATGGCACTTCCGGTCCGGATTTGGCTGCGCATTCAATGTCTGGTGTCAGAGACTAGCGGCGTAGACAACGGGCTGTTTGGGAAGTTGCTTGTCGATGACGTTCCACCTTCTTCTTCCAAAAAGAAGAAGAATAAAGGAAAGAAGTCATCAAAGAAACCTGCAAAGAGAGCCCGTGAACATTCCACGGCTGAAGAAGGAAGATCTGAGGACGAAAAGCCTGATGCGTCAGTTGTGCCAAGTCCAGGGCAGTCAGTGTTAGGGGAAGAACATACCATGGAGAAAGTGGGAAGTCAAGAGTTGACCAAGGAGTTGACCGAGGAAGAGTTGCCCCAAGAAGAGTTGACCCAGCATGAGTTGACAGAGCAAGAAGAAGAGTCAACCAGAGAGGAGTCAACGAGGGAAGAGTCGACAAAGGAAGAGTCGGCCCATCATAAGTCACCCCAGGAAGAGTTGACCAAGCGGGTCTCTACACTCACGATTGATACCTGGAAGAGCAACCAAAGGTTTAAGGGCAAGGAGAAGGGAAAGCGCACACCTTCTTCATCTGGCTCCGACACAGGAAAGAGAGACGCAGACCACGTTCCTGTTCACACCACACACAACATGACAGAGCAGAATGATGGCTTACTTCCAGAAATGCATGACATCGCTCCACAGGATGTCCTGACTGAGCAGCAACTTGCGGGAGTTGCTGGCCAACAAACAGTCAATGCCTCCCGGGTCCCTATTACCCCCATTGACTCGACTACCCCATTTTCTCCATCATTCGAGACAGCCCGAACCCACATCTCCCCCCGCACTCCCCTCCCCTCATCCTCTTTCTCGTCTTTCTTCACACCTACGACCGCCTTACAGAAGATAGACGAGGATCACGGGGAAGAAGCAGTGCAAGCGGAAGGAAACGAGCCAGCAAAGGTTTCAGATGAGCTGGGCTTGACTCCGCAGGGGGCTGAGGTTGGGCTTCGGTGTCCTGTCTCGGACAACAGGGGCGAGGTGTGGTTTTCTGGTAAGTCCCTTACTCTTTATACCATTGTTGATGCAGCTGCTAACTATTATTTAGACTCTGAAGAGTACCCTGGCGGCCACGAGGCGCAGGAGCCAGTCTTGCGTCGGAGTGAGTCTTTCGACGTGGCCAATCTAGGTATGCAATCACATTTTACGCATGTTTTGCTTCGAATACATGCTAACAAAAGATCACAGGGCTTTTCGAGGGCCAGGAAACCACATCCTCGTCCCAAACGGCCGACCCTCCATCGACCTCCTGTGCCTCTTCTGTCTTGTCCACTGCAGAGTCCGCTGGGTCTGCGACTTATGATTCCAGTTCATCTTGCACTGTCTTGGCAGATGACCAAACTCCAGCCGAGTCTAGCCAACATGACAAGAAGAGAGCATACAAGAAGAAGAAGCGTGAGAGACGGAAGTGTAAGAACTTGATGAAGCGTCAGGAAGCGCGCGATGCGGACGCCGAGTTCCCCGTCTCTAATGCTTCTTCCAAGGAAGATGGAGTGGAAGGTCGTTCTCCGTCTCCACCCGAGTCGTTTGAGGATGATGAACCGACTCCCACAGCCATGCAGTTCGGCAACATCGGGCCTCCAACCCCTCAATCACAGTGGGACTTGAGCATGATCGGGATTCTCTGCCAGAAGGCAGACTGCCAAGTCGCCTGTGGTTTCGGGGATGGGGGCTCCGTTGTTTGCCCTAAGTGCGGACCGTTTTCCTTGGTCCGCTACTGCGGCAAGGACCATCTGTGGGAGGATGCCAAGATGCACTGGGGGGGATTGCGGGAAGATCCCAGTCTTGTACCAGCACGTGGCCGGTTCGATTCCGTATGACGATCTCGTGGGTCCACCAATGCTTCCCAGCCTTCACCAGTGGGACAACCCTGAGCGCCATCGTCAGGCGTTGTGGTTCAGTTCCGCCCGCGACCGAGGTGACTACTTCGTGTTCGCGGAGTGGGACGACCTGGTGAGGGCTGAGGACGCTCCAGCCAGTCACTTGGCGCTGCGATGTTCACCTCGAATCGCACACATTGTGCGATTCGAGGACGCCGAAGAGAAGGACCGGTTCCGCCGGTGCCTTGCAATTTGTCTCTTCGGTAAGTTTCATATCACTTTTAATTTCTTTACACTTTCAGCTTCATCTCACTCTCAGTTTCCCTGCGCTTTGATATCAAACAACCCTCACCAATGCCTACTTTTTAGACCATATGCTAACCTTTCTTTCCTCCCAGCGGCGGTTGAACATCCAGCCCTTGTGGACTATCTTTACCGGCTTGTCCGGGACTGGATGCGGGCCCACAACATGTGGGCCAGTGACAAGGACATGGACAGCATGCTGCGGTATCAGATGGGACTCGAGATGGGTGGCACCATCGATGCGAGCAGTCTTGGTTTGCGGCATGCTTGTGAGACGGAGTGGATCGGTGCTGACCGACGCCACTGCGAGGATCCGACCTGCGCGAGCGAGCGTCGCCCACGTTGCTCGGTAACCACCGTATGGGGTTGGGCTTCCGGAGAGTGTGCGAAGCCCTAGAATCCAACTATTGGATTCTGAGGGCGCACCGAGCCACCCATCCTTCGGTGAGCGACGTGGATGCTCGCACGCGTGGTGGAGGATTCTCGGAGGTCCTCGCGAAGGACCGGCGGACATTCCGCCGTGGCGTCGGTTGGGACGGGGCGGGAACGGGCCCCATGGAGGTGGAGATTCCGTGGTCAGGGTAGGGAGCCGTCCCCTCCCTAGCCCTCTTTGTACCGGGGTCCTGGACCTGGGGTGGCTGGTTTGGAGAGAGATATCATCAGTATTCAGTCGGTGGATGCCCCCCCAGGTCCAGGATGCCCATTTTTGTATTATGCTTTCGGTGAGGGGGAGTTGATCGCCCCCTCCTTTGTTTATAGGAACAAAGACCGTCGCGTGGTTGTGCCTCTGTCCTACTGTGCCTTTGTCCTTCTGTGCCTGATTCATTGTTCTCAGGTGCTGTACGTTATGTAGACGTAGCTGTACATGAGTAGATCTGTACTAGTAGACCAATCATATAAGAGAAGTTTCATGGGGAATTAGTTTCTGTGGCATGTTTTGCATCTTTATATCCAATTTTCTATTGGCATCATAACACTTCTATGCATCTCTCGTCACTTCTCACATATCAAATCCCTGCATGTCTTTGTTTACTGGGTGATATACTTCTTCAGGCCTCTCAAACGATCCTTGGCAGTCTCAAGAACATCATCATTCTTGCACACCGCAAAGCGGAGATAATCCTCAGCAATGTTGGCATTGGCATCAGTGTAGAATTCAGTGGGAGGGATAGCAGCGACGCCAACCTCCTGGATGAGGAACCAGCAGAGCTTGAAATCACGAGGACGGCTAGCAACATGAGGCGGGAATGGATAGTCAGCCGGCAGCTTTACAGAAGCCATGTTGGCAAGCACAAAGTATCCACCCTCAGGATCAGAGTACTGTAGAGATTGTTGTCAGCAAAGTCAATGTATGGCAGAGTAGACTTGATAGTTAAGGGTTAGAGTAATCACATACCGGGATACCAAGCTCATCAAAGACCTCGCAGAACCGCTCAATTTTACCCTTCATATCTGTTCGGCTCTCGTCCCAGAAGCCCTCTTTTTCTGCCTGCTCAAAAGCAACAGCAGCAGCTTCCTGGAGAGGGGACACACTGCTGTAACAGATACGGGTGTGTGCACCGGCCACGTACTTGATCAGGTGTTCAGGGCCGATGAGGTACCCGACACGCCAACCAGTAGCGTAGAAGGCCTTGCCGGCAGAGCCCACGGTCAAAGTGCGCTCGTACAACTCTGGAGACAGAGTAGCGATTCTAGTGTAGGGAACATAGAAGAGGCGGTCGTAAACTTCATCAGACAAAATGATAAGGTTGTACTTCACGCACAGTTCACCAATGCGCTCGAGTTCCTCGCGCGAGAAGACCTTTCCCACGGGGTTATGCCTATGAACACACAGTTAGTTGAGACTTTATTCGCCTTTGTAGATCAAGGCTGCTTACGGTGAGTTCAAGACCTGTTACAATTAGCTTGAATATTCATGAAAGTCTTGGTGTTGCATGCTTACAATCATCTTTGTCTTAGGGTTCATGGCCCTCTCGAGCTCCTCAAAGTCAATAGTCCACTCCGACGCAGGAGATGTCTTAGTCGCACCATCCTTAGGTGGGTGGAGGGGAACATAGCGGATAGTACCGCCGGGCATCTCAATGTTGCTAATATATCTATTCCAAGTGAATTAGTATGCCTTGAATTCTTCTCGCAATATCGGGGCTCCTTACTGGTCAAAGAAGGGCTCGAAGATAATGACCTCATCACCATCCTCGATGAAGCCCATGAAGGCACTAAGCATGCCTTTTTTGGATCACTTGTCAGCGCCAAATGTCCATTTATAGGTGAATTATACCGATCTCTCACCTTCATTTGCGCCGGTTGTGATCGAGACCTCGGTCTCGGGGTTTAGCTTCTTGCCAAAGAAGGGCGAGTAAGCATCCGCAATAGCCTGCTTGAGGCGAGGGCGGCCCTATATTGTATGAGAACTCGTGTAACCATGCGCAAATCCGTTGGCGATCTCTACCTTTGTCGGAGAGTATTGGTTGCATTCCACTCGGTCTAGCGCATCTTTCGCAGCGTCAAGAGCGAACTTGGGAGGGTTATAGCCACTGCGTAGAAACATTATATGTCAATTCGTATCCATTAAAGTAATTGGGGGTCCTCGAAAATGACGTGACTCACAAGAACCCTTGGCCCATGTTCACAATCGGCTGAACTGGTGAAGCTGCAGCGGCTTCGTTGACGATTGACCTTCAGTCCCCATTTAGTATGTCTTTCCAAACCTGTTTCTCGAAACTGCATACCAAACATCCTGGCGCTGTCCTGCTACCCGCTTGGCGGGGCGAAATGGATCGGGTCGTGAAGCTGTAGCCGACATCGCTCTTGCGCTGTAACCAGGTCGGGGTGATGTCGCAGGGGCGGAGAAGAGGATTCTGGACCTGCAATTCTGTGATTGAGCAAGAATATGTCGATAAGAGCGGGAAATCATGAGTGTTGAAGACAATAAGAAGAGAGAGGACAAGACATGGAGAAGTTGAATTTCCCCACCATTGCGTGCTCCGGATTCGGCTCTGACGGCCCTCGGGAGTTGTGTTTTATTTCTCTTCAGGTCATTCGGAGATTATATTGTACCTTGCATGTCCTTACATGTATGTAGTACATATCTAAAGATTCTAGTACTTACTACCTATGTACGCAGTTATGTAGGTAGGTAGTTGATCTTGTTGCCCATTTTCAGGCACCAAGGCCTGTTACTTACTAATTAACGCGTTGAACGCGTCGTACCCGCGGGTGGAGGCTATCATTTCTACGTTTATACGTTTACCTCACCTTGAAGTCTTTGAGTAACCTAGTGAATGACCCGATCATTCTCCGGTCATCATGGTATCCTGCCCAATATGCGAGCAATCTGTCTCCCAGTTAAAGATCAACGACCACATCGACTCGGGATGCCAGAGCTTCATCGAAGAAGCGTCGTCCTCTCCAGGCGAACTGGCATCTTCCCAGAAGGGACCAGTCCCAAGCATGTTTCAACCTCCGTCCGCGCGCAAAGCTTCTGCCCAGTCGAATATTCCGAAAGATTCCCCGTCCCGTCCCACAACGACCCCACGCGCCCTCAACAGCAAGCGATCATTTATTGAGGAAGCAGAATCTAGACGGGAGGGGGATGGGCCGAAGCAATTAAATGGTGACTCAAAAGAGCCCCAAGCAAAGCGCCCGAAGATCAACGCTTTCCACAAAGCAGCACCTCTAGCCGAGCGCATGCGACCTAAAACGCTCGAAGAAGTTTGCGGCCAAGAGCTTGTCGGACCTAACGGCATCCTGCGCGGACTCATCGAACAGGACAGAGTACCGAGTATGATACTGTGGGGCAGCGCAGGGACAGGGAAAACAACAATCGCTCGAGTCATTGCGTCACTGGTGGGCAGCAGATTCGTGGAAATCAACAGTACGAGCAGCGGCGTGGCAGAGTGCAAGAAGATATTTGCCGAAGCTCGTAGTGAGCTGGGACTCACTGGGAGAAAGACGATTATCTTCTGTGACGAGATTCACCGATTCTCCAAGTCACAACAGGATGTCTTCTTGGGCCCGGTGGAGAGCGGCCAGGTCACGCTCATCGGTGCCACAACGGAAAATCCATCGTTCAAAGTCCAAAATGCACTGCTCTCACGTTGCCGGACATTTACTCTTGCAAAGCTTACCGATGAGGACATCATTTCGATCCTTCATCGTGCTCTTCAGGTTGAAGGCCCGAGCTATTCGCCCTCCGAACTGGTGGACGAAGAGCTAATCCAGTATCTCGCCAGATTCGCCGATGGAGATGCTCGCACTTCGTTGAATTTGTTGGAGCTAGCCATGGATCTGTCAAAAAGGCCTGGAATGGACAAGGAGGACCTGAAACGATCCCTGACCAAGACGCTCGTGTATGACCGTGCTGGAGATCAGCATTATGATACGATCTCCGCCTTTCACAAGTCCATTCGAGGGAGCGACCCAGATGCGGCACTCTACTACCTTGCTCGCATGATCCAGTCGGGCGAAGACCCCCTGTATATCTCTCGACGGCTGATCGTTGTGGCTTCCGAAGATATTGGCCTGGCGGACAACACCATGCTGTCACTTGCTATATCCACACATTCAGCCGTGGAGAAGATTGGACTCCCGGAAGCGCGAATTAATTTGGCGCATGCTACCGTGGCGATGGCGCTATCGAAAAAGAGTACTCGCGCGTACCGTGGCTTGAATAACGTCTTTGCCGCCTTGAACGAGCCGGGAATCGCGGGCTTGCCTATTCCTGTTCATTTGAGGAATGCCCCGACGAAGCTCATGAAGGAGCTGGGCTATGGTGCGGAGTACAAGTACAATCCAAACTATGTCGACGGCAAGGTTCAACAGGATTACCTGCCAGAGCAACTCCTCGGTCGTACCTTCCTGGAGGACTTGGATCTTGGCACGCGGAGAGACCCTGGGTTGAACAGTATATCATATCAAAGAAATTGATTGTCTTCACTGTTTGATCATATCTCTCTTACTATACATCAAGTCCAGGCCCATTCTATGGGGCTATGACATCGCAGCCTTCATACTTCCGTTCTTGAACCCCGGAAATTACATACACTAGGTAAACCTTATGCCTAGCGATGCGCTATACCGGATCTGGAATCGGCCTCATGGGCCTGGTCATGCCTGGTCGTGCCTGCTTCACCTCGAGTGACGCCGTTAGGTTCTTGCTATGATGTTGAAGGTTCAGAGCTAAGCCTCAGCCAAGGTTTGGCCTGGTTATCGATGGTACTAGTCCGTTTTGAGTAACTTTAGAGATGCCCAGGTGTATCCTCTAGTTCCGTATTTACCTCACATCACCCATTCTTTACCTTCGCAAAGGATCGACAACTCGTTCAAGTACAAACATCGGTTTGTTATTAGGCTCTGCCCTGAGCCCGTCCTTTCGCTCTCGCCCTTTGCTCGACGGTCTTTCAGAACCTCGCTCAGTGCTATTCCTCTCGTTTATCCTCGAAACCATGATAGCTCAAGCTGCTACACGGCATCAGCCATCTCAATTCTCTCCTCATCCGAACCGCGGGCGTAAATACGCACCGTCGACACCGCATCCACCGGATTCCATCTATCCTGTGAGTTCGATCTCCCATCTCGCCCTCTTACGTCCCGATGGGTTTCCTTCAAACCTGCACGTCTCGTGAATTTTTGATACTGACTACAGACCTTTCAGTCTGCCATGTCTCAACTCGCATCAACCATGCCTTACTTTTCCGATTCCAATATCGAGAGTTCAATGCCACAGACGTGGCAACTGTCGTCGACGACGACCATGGTATATGAGACCCAGCCCGTGGATCCAGACATGCTCGAAATGGTCAACGAACTTGACAACGATTCGATAAGCAGCCAACCTCAGGAGATTAGTGATCAACATCAGGAGCTGGTCCTGCTTGATGACCCATTTGGTTTTGATTCAATAATGACACCTGCCACAATTGAAGACCAATTACAAAACTCCATATCTCCCGCAAGCTCGAAGTCTCGACCCTCGAGATTCTCCAGCCCCAATGATCTCGGTTCCTGCAAGTCGGCTGAATATGAGCGTGCTCGAAGGGAACACAGCGGTGGTGAAACCCAACCATTTGCTGCGCCAGTACGTCCGCCGTCTCCCCCTCTCGACAAGATGTATCCCGATGGCTTCGTCCTATGGGATCCAGCGGACCCTGGGAAGTCTGACAACATCCGCGAAAAAATCACCCGTAACCAGGCCGAACTTCAGCAACAGAGAGACGATATCGCTGCACTCAAGAAAGCTGGCGGCTCGTGTATGGCATGCTACCGGGCTAAGAAGAAGTGTGGAACAGCTACACCCTGTCCTCCATGCTCTTCTAAGGGTAATCGAATCTGCTTTCGAAGTTGGGGAGATCTATGTCTGCTTGGGCCGCCTACAGGGGACTCCCTTACGATCCTTAGCTTCCCGTCCCAAGCGGCAAAGAATAATTTGCAACGTATGAGTGATGAGGTCTTCAAAGTTATGGATGTATTCAAAGCGGTTGTCAATATCCGCGAAACATATGGCGGAGCCTGCACTGCATGGAATTGGACAGTAACGAGGGCCAGTATCACGCTATCGAGTAGAACAGAGTGTCCCGTCGAGGATTTTATTGCTGGGGTTACCAGTGCCCTCCGCCCCGTGGATTTGGTCAAAATTGGAGATATAAACACAGAGAACCCACTCGTCTGGAACGCACTCAGATTGGCAGATCTGTTTATAGCCATTCGAGCCTTGGCGCAAGCTCAAATCCGTGCCTCCTGGTATGAAATTACTACCAGGCGACTCGTTTCGTTTTATCTTTTGATTCTCTCTTTTCGGAAGCTAGCGCAAGTGTCTGAGGATTTTTGCCCTGGTTTGTACGTGGCCCTGTGTGGAAAGGACAAGCAGAACCACAAGAAAAGCCGGCCACGGAAAGAAAATGAGATTGATCCTGCTTGGGCCGCCGCAGCATTGTATTACCGAGTTATATGTGCCTTGCAAGATCTCCTAAACAACCACCTCGTTGCGAGAATATTTGGCGCCTCCAGCTGTCATCTGAGCGGTGTTCGTGAAAAACTCGAAGACATCCTGTACAATGTATCCCCCGGACACGGGGCTACGGGCAAATCCAGATCGATCCTTGAGGAAGGAATTCCCAACCTCCAGCCATCGCCAGACGTGGACATGGCTTTCTGGCTAGGAGACCCCGAGGAAATGTCGTCTGTTCTGAGGCAGCATGACAATCCTTTTTCGACGCCACCCTACCAAATGCAAGCGTTCTTGGCTGATCATTTCCCTCGGCCTTGCGGTTTGGCGAATCCTGTTGAGCAGGCCGGTGGGCTCTTGCAACCGTCAGCGGCTTCTCACGATACGGTGATTGCCCAAGCACAGAATGGCCTTGATCACATGGCCTATGCCGACCAGATTGAAAGCTTCGACTCGAGTACTCTGTTTAACTTCCCCAGCAATGAGTATGGCAATGCATTCGATCCAATGACTGCAAACTTTGTCGATACAATTCCACCCGATACAATGCCAGTCTATGGCTTCCAGCAATCTCTGTACAATTGTTGAAGCTGTCTGCAACATCAACATTCGCTCACCACTATTGTTTTGTTTGTCTATTTCACAAGTTACTCATGGGAGGAAAATACGACACTCGTTTCAGGAACAAAGTTGCTGGATAGGAAGTGAGGTTTTGTATGGGTTGGGGGAGATATGTCCAATTGTTTGTGATTAGCACCAGGTTGTGCTGTGTCTAGAAGTTCGCTCACTCGCTCATCGAATGTCTTCTAGAAGAAATAAATTTGAATCCTGAAATTTCCCGAAAAGTAATAATATTTTTCGTTGAACGCTATATCTGTAACAAAAGCAAAACAGCGAGTCATTCCGCCCGCGTCTGGCGCGTCTCCAGAATCCTCCCACCGCCAAACACCCCGTGGACCTCATCTAACCACGCATTCTCATGGGCTACAAGCCCCTCCACTTGAATTAATGCTGAAGAACTCTTGATCCAGCCATCTAATTAAACCTGAACACGCCATTCACCATGGCCTCTGGCCAACCCTTCGCGTCGCGCTCCTACGCCGGCACGAAACTCCCAGAACGCTCTGTCAACACGAACGCGATGCCCTTCAGCGCCTCATCATTCTCACGGCATCGCGGTCTGGGAAATGCCAACCAAGGCGACTTCAACGGCCCCGAAGGCCAAAAGCAAATGCAACAGTCCGCGCCCGCGCCCGCAACAAACGCACAGTCCCATGGCCCAGCGCAGGACGCGAATCCGCTAAGCAGACTCACCGAAGAGCAGAGGGAAGAGATCAACGAAGCTGTAAGGGATACTCCGAGCCATCTAGACACCACTGTTCTCCCCATACTGTATTCTCCTGCAACTCCGCTTCTCCATCTCCCTCCAAGGAGGTAAAGAAAAAGAGAAGAAACCGCAACACCAACCCACTTCAAAACCCCGTCCAAACCCACCAGCTAACCAACTTCTCAAAGTTCACCCTCTTCGACCTAGACCGCGACCGCCACCTGGACTACCACGAACTCCGCGTCGCCTTCCGCGCGCTAGGCTTCACACTCGGCAAACAAGAGCTAATCTCCCTCCTAACGACCTACGGCGTCCCCCGACCACAAGTCCAGCAACAACAAGCCGCGGCAGGCAACCAGCACGGCCAAACACAAGCGCTATCAAACAAAGGCCCGGTGTCGAACCCGCAACACCCGTCCAACCTGCTCATGCCGCTCTCGTCGTTCCAGGCCGTTACGGCGCTGAAGATCCTCGAGCGGGACCCGCGGGACGAGATCCTGCGCGCGTTCGAGCTGTTCGATGAGGGTGCTAAGGGGTTTATTGACCTGGAGGATTTGAGACGTGTTGCGAGAGAGTTGGGGGAAACGGGGCTTGAGGAGGAGGAGCTTAGGGCTATGATTGAGGAGTTTGATCTTGAGGGTGTTGGTGGTGTTACTCGGGAGGCTTTTGTTGGGATTTGTTGGCAATGAGTTGGATGAGGGGGATTCTTGGTCACCTTGTTAAGGCTTGGATATGGTTGGATGGGCTCATTCTCTAAGACCGAGACTTGACTGAGGGTTGATTGTTTGTGCATGGGGTTTTTCCTGGTGTTGGGTTTTGAGTGTGTTGCTTGTTCTCTTGTCGTTTTACTCATGTGCTTGTTTGGGAGTAAGTGCCTGCGTTCTATTTTGGGTCAAGATCGAACTTCGAATGGATATTCATTCCTGTATATGATGTCTACATCTACTCTCGACAGTTACTATGCTTGCAAGGTGAGAATGCGGTGTGATTCATAGGCCAAAGGGCTTCGACGTAATCTACTCAAGAAAATGCATACAAATTCAGGAAGGCAAGTAGCCACAAGAAAGGAAAGCCCAAAAACACCAGATCGCGGGTGTTAGCATACTATACGGGAAGATAATAACCAAACATCGCGCGATGACGCCGATACCCAAATCCCCCAGACCGCAAAACCTAGAGGCTTGAATGCAAAGAAAAGGTTCAGTAGAACCCATAAACTAGAATAAAACAAGAAGCAGAGGGGTGATCATGAGTATCGTGGCGGGGGACCAGGAGGGGGAGGCACATTCGTATATCCGCCATTCCAGTATCCATGCCACTGGTCCATAGGCTGGCGAGCAGTAGGCTGGGGTCCATTATAGCGACGATATGTACCAGGGGGGATAGCCTTGCGCGCCTTACGCAGCTGTGCACTGCGCTTGCAGCGACTATAGATACAGAAGAAGATAGCGAGCAGGATGAACGAGCCGACACCGACACAGATGCCGATAACCAGCTTCTCGTGCTGGTGGATCCAGCCCAGGGCCGAGGAGCCCTTGCACTGGCCTGCGCTGCAGCGGCCGCCAGCGTCGCAGGGTGTACCGTCGAGGTAGTTCTGGTTCATCCAGATGCACTCTTTAACACCCATCGAGTGTTGGAGTGAGGGAGCGCCGCACACGAGACTGCAAGATGGCTTATCAGTGTTATCGCAGGCCCAGGTGTCGTTGGTGTTCAGCATCGAGCCTATCACCGTGCGGCACTGGTAGTCACGGCTGGTGCATTGGCCGCTGGCGCAGCTGAGACCCTGGCCCTTGGCGCCGCAGCTGGAACCGTCGTCTTTGTATTTGTTGTCGGGACAGGAGCTCGAGGTGCCGCTGCAGGTCTCGGCGATGTCGCATTCTCCGGTGCTGGCGCGGCAGACGGTGTCGGCAGCGGCGAACTGGCATTTGTCACAGCAGCTGTCATTGGCGTCGTCGCAGACGGCACTGCCTTTGAATTTGCAGGTCTTTGCGTCACAGCAGGAGTTGTCGCTGCAGCTTTTTTCGTCGCCGCAGTCACACTCCTCGTCGCCTTCAACGATACCGTTGCCGCATTGGCTGCCGCTGATGGTGACGACGCCGCGGTTATCGGACAGACAAGTGGACTTGATGCTGTTCTTGCCAATGGCAGAGCAGATGTTACCGATTGTACACTCCGAAAACTCGGTCATGGTGTTCTTAGCATAGGGGTTCATGATGTATTTCGCACCGGCATTGCAGGTCGACGAACTCAGCGGGCAGCATTGGGACGAGGCATCTAATTTCTCTGTGCATGCTTGATCCTCACAATCGTGCACTGCTCCGAAGGTGTGACCAGTCTCGTGGGCAAACACTTGCCAGGAGGAACCGGCATTGCGCACTACGACGTTGGCACCGGTCACAGAGTTCTCTCCAGAGCTCACTAGGTCGGAAGAGCATAGACGACCCATCCATGAAACTCCAACCTCGCTCCCTGTTGGGCAGTTTGTCATTAGAGTCCAGTAGGCATTGTCATCTGAATGAGATGCGCGCCACTTGGAGAATTCGTTCAGGCGCCAGGTGACATTTCCACCGTTGCAATCCACGTTCCATGGCGTAGCGGAGGAACCCGTGGTAGGGCAGCCTGTCGCGGAGACTGTAAGATTGCGCAAACCAATGGAGATATTGAAAGATTCCTCATAGAGACTTGAAGCCGTGTTGACCATGTTGATAAGCCAGTCCTTGGCCGCTTTTTCGGGGTGGAGTTGGTAGCCATGAACGATTCGGTGAATTCACAATCCGTTGCAATTCCGATCAAGGCGACTTTCTTCGTTTTAGGACATCCACTGTTATCACCGATGGTCGTTCTCAGATTCACACCACCAGTGTTGCCCGAGACACCGCCAATATCTGACGATGACTGTCGCTTGCCCAATCCAAACATCGAGTTCAACGAGGCAACCCCCCCACTGACCATCTGTTTCGTCCATGTCATACCCGAAGATCGAGTTAGACAGATCAGCATTGTACCCAAGTTGATCTGCCCCACAGCCCTCAGATACGGGAAGCGATCGCTTGAGCTCAGAGTGCGTATAGCCAAACATGTCGGAGTCACGGTAGACGACCATAGATTCCCCATCTCTGGGTTCCACATGGGCATCGATCGGGCGCTTCTTGTCGAGGTAGGTGGACTGCAACTCAATGTGATGCTTGTTATTGTCGACACTGAAAGCACCTTCAAAGAGAGGCTCCAGGCCATCCCTTTTGATGGTGATTCTTGCCCAGCCCACGGGCGTCCATCTCCCCGTTCCGGATCCTACCAAGGCACGGCCTTGGAACACTTTGTGCTCGTCTCGCTTGATCGGTTCCGCATGTTTTATTGTGCCGTCGACGCCGACATATTGCACGTAAGCGTTGTCGGCCAAGATATCATGATTGGGCTTGAGTTCTAGCTTTATGCGCTTGCCGTCTTGGTGTAAGGAGAAGGTGATATCAAATTCGGACAGGTGGTCTATCTGATGTGAAGGAGTACGGATGATGGCATTATCGACGGGCGTCACCCGTCGAATGGCCTCTGAGGCCTGTGATCGTGCTGGACGTTGTCAGCGGCTAGGCAACCTAGGCAACGGGGGTGCTCAACGGGCTGCAAGTGGGTAGTTACCTTGTGTTTGTTGAAAGAGCGATGAAAATGCACCGATTAAGGGCAGGATAGTGGAAAACCTCATCGCAAAATATCCTACTCTCAGGGTCCTTCCCCGGTCTTTTTGAGGGAATAGAGTTTCCACCTGAGGGGGGGGGATATCAACGGGGTCCACCAGGGGTTTAAAGGGGTCCAAGGAGAAAAGGATATTAAAAGAGAGGAATCAACGAGAGACTAAGAAAATAGAATCAGAAACTCAAGAAGACCAAAAAGTGAAGAGAGGAAAGTGAGAGACATCAGATAATCCCCGGGGCCTTACGGCTACAGGGCTATGCCAAGGGCTTAGGAATCCAAACTTGGCAAAAGTGGATTGAAACATTACCATTTTGGGTAATTTTCAATATTAATATTGGTATTTTAAATATTAGTAATAATGTTTAATATAATTTAATAGAGAGGATTGGTGGAGAGGAACTATTTTTATCCAGTTATGGTGCCTATTACATGGTATAATAAGGGGATAACCTGTTGGCTATATAACTACTCCGTATCATATATGTTACATATAAAACTTGTCTCTAAAATCGAAAGTTAATAGTTAACCAATTCCTCGTAGAAACAGGGTCTTGATCTTTCTTTTCTTCATACTATATTTGTCCGTCGGACGCGTAAGTGGCTCATCGCCAAGGCGCCTCGAACCTATCAAAGGGCCTTCTTGACGGCTTGGCATTTAAGGCTGCCGAATAATGGATGTCCTATTGTTCGGAATGATATATCTGATGTGCCAACTGCGCAAAATAGGGGATTGACACCCCACATATAGGGCAGTCCACATTCCCCAAGGGTTCATCATCGTCCCAGCCATCGTCCGACTGTGACTGTATCTCAGGGGAACCGGGCAACGGCATATCAGAGGACTCAGGTTCCCGCACAGTCCAATCCTTAAGTACTGTCTCCTGTTGGCGAAACATCTTCCCAATATCACGTCCACTATTCTGCTTCTGATCTCCTGCGCTCTCCACCATATTGGTAACCGCAACGTTCAATAAACTGAGGTTCCACCCCGTCTTTTCGGGATGTAGTTTGCGAAACATAGAAAAAAGGCTTTCCCGGACCAGCCGCTCGGCCAATGCATCGATATTCTCATCCAAGTTGAAAACAAAGGGTGGTAGAGGTGCCGAGCGAGAGATGCGATTGGAATTGTATGAACGCCCACCCGAATCTGGCGGAGGTCTTGGTCGGGTCGATAATCGCACTGTGCGAGGATGAGCACGCCATCTCCCTTGGGGTGCACTTTCATCACTCGTATCAAGCAGATCGGTTCTTACGCGGCGGATGAGACTTCGCGACAACACTACGAGCTCTCGTCGTACACCCTCGAGGGTATCTAACCGGCCATAAGAATCCTCGATGCTGATCTGGGTGGGCACATCGCGACCCTCGAGCACCTCGGAATTATCTACTCCATGGAGAATGCTCCACATGCGCATCCCGATCCCTTTCACTGAGCCTGGCCCGCCAAGGATCCTGTCCAGTAAAGGTGGGCCCATGCCAGGGAACTGTCGAACATCTTTGACTGTGATCTTCTCGTCGACGCTCTCTTGCCCTGTGATATGGGATTTCAGTTTCTGGGCAATCCGAGAACCGATTCCAGGAATCTTCCGGATCTCATGCTCATCAAGGAACTGGAGCACGTTGCTAGTATTATTTTCCGTTGCCGTATATGGCGGCAGAAGAGTCGTTTGGCCGTTGGGCTTGTGAACATTACCGACCAACTTTGCCAGCAGTTTGGAGGTTGAGATCCCGCCCGTAGCCGTAAAGCCTATTTCATGTTCCAGTTTACTCCGTATATGACCCTGTAAATGAGAGGCGACGAGCAACCTCATTTCCAACGAAGTCGTATCTTTCCGAGCGATGGAGGCTGCCTCCATTGCGGGAAAGGTCGATCCCTGGAAACGAGTGGCATTATAGGAAAAGCCCACGGTCGGATCATTCCTATCAAGATGGAAATATGAATTCTCCAGGTCATTTTGATTTAGCACACCAGTGTTGTAGTCAATCATCTCCGTGACATCGAGAAAGAGCTCGTCAAAGCCTAGCTTTTCAACACGGCCGCCCCAGACAAAGGAACGAACCAGCTGATAAAGCTCCTTGGAGGCATTCCGGAACTTGGTCAAGTCTTCACCCAGGACTATTACCACATCGGGACAGATGCGCTTGGCATCTTTGATGAGCTGCAACTTATGCAGACCTCGCCGTCGGGCTTCGTAGTTGCAGGTTACCACGATTTGCTTTTGTTGAACTGCCAAGGGTAGCGACCTCAATTCAGGTTGCTCAACCTCGAAGACAGAGGCATAGAAACAGTCATAATCCTGGATATGGTTAGTCACAAGGTAGCTAGTAACCTTGGATGAGTGGGGGAAGTTACCAAGTGGAGGATGATACGACTGTCGTTCCGCACTAGTGCAGCCATGAACCCTGAGCTGATGCAGACGTGTCCATGGGGACTTGATTTTTGGGTGCCTGGCAGAGGTCCAAAGCTGAAAACAGGAACCGAAGGCAACTTTCAATGGAACCCGTATCTGTGGCTGGTGTGTGTGTGGCGTCAGTGGCTTAGCATTATTAGCCTTGTTGCCTGGCAGTTGCATACATGCAACTCTATACTGTTATAGTTAATTATATTATATTGTATTGGTTCCAAGAGATTGCTTTCAATACAAGGCAGTATATATCTCTCTTTTAAGACCATAAGCCCAAACTGAGCCCGTGCAGCCTCATGGTCGATCAAATCCTTTAAGCTGTCCTCCGCCATCGCCGTCACGAAAGTGGAAATTTTAGGTAGCAAGGTCACCAACGCCATTGGGTGGAGGCGATGTCACACTGCCACTCCCAACAATAAGATCTAACTAGTCGATCTGGTGTAGATTGATCGTATTTCCTACCAATCATAACCTGGAAGGACACCCTCTTTGATGCTTGCGGCCGTCACGTGTGATATACTAGAGTGACACGGGTTTACATCAGGGCTTTCATATTAAGTACAACATATGTACGGAGTATAGACAAAGTATACGTAGAGAAGGGAATGTTAAGACATATTTCAGAATGCAGTTTCATAGACTTCTCCATATCCACCATTTTTAGGTCTTTGCCACCAAAGTACGTACCCGTATAGATGTAGATCGGAGATCCACCCTGTTCTTTTTATAGATGGAGTGTTTTTGCTCTCTAATACGAATATTGATCCTGATAGTATTTATTTAACAATATATTTATATTAAAATACTCTATCAAGTAAATAGAAATCAGAATATGTGTGTATGTTATACTACTATTTTACTAAAATAGAAAAAAGAGCAAAGGTGGTGGCGTCGATGCGCATCTCCACATGAGTCTGGAGTCACAATGAGACCGTGGAAATCTCTGCTCTACTTTTAAAGTACGTACTTCGTATATATGGGGTATATGGACATGTGTTAAATACTCTAAATACATGGATGTACTCCCTTAATCTTAAATCTTTCTTAATCTTCTTAATCTTCTTAATTTGTGACATGCATCTTTCATCACATCCAAGCGCCAACCTCCTCTATTCTTAGTTCAACCCCGCTATCCTCTTCTTTTTTTCTCCCTTTGATCTTCGATGATACGCGCTTGATTCTTTCTATCCTTGTTATTGTTATTCTCCTTCTTCCGCTTCTTCTCTAATTTTCATCATGTCGTGTCTGTCGCCAGATGCCACAACCACAATAACCTCCCGACCAAAACTCACCCTTCAAACCACCTCTCTCCCTCGCACATTCGGCACTTCAACCACCGGCCTATCCTTCTCCTTCGCTGCCGCACCAGCTTCATCCCCCACTGTTCGAAACACCTTCAAGAATGCCTACGAAGTCGCATCCCCATCTTCAGCGACTTCCCCTTCCAAATCTACCCGCTACAACAAACCGACCTCCCCCTACATCCTCCACCCGAACAATAATATCTTCAACCACCGCAGCCCCTACCAACTCCCCATCGGAGTGCGCAGCATTTTGCGCAACTCCCCACTAGAACCTTCAACCCGCCGACGATCAGGCTCCATATCAGCAGGCGGCAACGGACCCAACGGCGCGAGCTCACGTCGCGTCTTCTTCCCAGCAAAGAAACAAGTCAGCTACCGGTACCCACTGGAGGAAGAGATCCGAACAGAATGTTACACCGCGCAACACCTCGACCTCGTAACGGAGGAGGCAGTGCAAATCGAGGCAGACACCAAAACCCCACCTGAGACACGCCCCGCCCCCTTCTCGGACCTCGAACGCGAAAAAGACGACTCAGATAACAGCCCGTCCTTATCATCAGAGACAAGTGGCTCGGGCGATGATAGTGCTGATGAAGGCGTGCGTGGGTCGCTCTCCAAGACCGAACGCAAAAAGCGCCGCACCATGCGCATAGAGCGTCAGGTTCGGGCGGTGGCTCTGCTAGATGGCTTTGAGGCTGATGGCTCGTCTACGCCGCAGACTCCACGGCAGGGTCGGGCGAAGCGGCGGAGGGAATGGAAATGGACTCTCGGGCCCGTCGATACGGCCTCGAACAATGGCCCCGAGAATGTCTCATTATTGCACGCGGCACAGGGCACCTCTGGATCTGAGTCTCTCCGAGTATCCACCGAATTTGCACCTGGTGATGAATAATGCTATATTATTCATGGTTTTATGTCTGATGTCTTTTTCTTTCTTTCATAATCTTTTTTTTCACGCCATTTTTTGTTTCTTTTCTTGCATAACAATGGCGATGCATATATTTACCCACGAATCATGTTGTATAGAGGCGCTGTTTGGGTTTATCCGGTGGCTTTGAGCGCATCTGCGCTCTTTCTCCTTTTTTTTTCATTGGCTGAGTTTCAGTATCTTATTTTCTATGCATTAAGCATCATATCCTTTCGATGTATACATACATTGTATGCACCTCTTCCAATCTGATAAGGCACCGCAAAACAAACAGCGAGTGACTGGCAAGAAAGTTGACAGATCCAACTCATGTGTACAATGGCCTTGAAAGCCCTGGAGGTTCTTCGTGTTTACAATACAGTATCTCGCTGGACGATTCCAGGCCACGACACATACTATAGCCTGCTTTTTGGCTCGCGACGAAACATATCCTGCGACGGAGAATCTTGTCCTGCACGGTTGAATGGGCTATACCTGCGACGCTAGCCCTTAAAGTGTTTCAGCCACGCTGGCATGTGGTACATCTTCTTAATGGCTATAGTATAGGCCCCGAGGTCACTACGGTCACTGCCCAGGTGACCATGTAGACTTTAGCACTGGCTTATACAACATAGGAATCCACTACTCCTCTCCTCGTATACATATCAATTCATATGACCCCCATGGACGGATATGTCATTTGTATACTTGACTCCATTTCTTCTATACCCTCTCTCGCTATATGGGGCTTGATATCGAGACCTTTAAAATAGGTTTCATCGAATATTAGCTAGAGACTGAACTCCTGACTACATTTCATATGAGCACTGTATACGGCACTTGAGCGCGACCAGGACAGATGTAGGAGATGTACATTTCATAAGGATTTCATACACAACCTTGGAAGGTACATGATGGTGGTGAATAGTAGTCATGAGCGTTCAATAACTCGTGGTTAAACAGTAAATAATGGATATTCACATTTTATACAGTCAATTCATGCCAATGCAAATACATAACATACAAAGCGCCGAAAACAAATACAAAACATTCATACATCGTCAAGTCTCCGTCTCAACATCTGGCTCGCGACCAGTGAGGCCACCCGCTCCGATCTTCTTCTTCATCTTACGGAGCGCATACTTAGCCTCATCTTTGGCAAAAGCAGCATTCCGCGCAGGCCGCCACTGCATGAGGCCACGCTGCTGCCGCTGCTCACTGTGTTTGTTCGCCCTGTTTACCTGGCTGGCACTCATATTGCTTTGAGACAAAGACGACGAAGCTCCAGCACTGCCACTGATAGTCGAGGGTCCCTTCGACAAGGGCTCAAGCTCTTCATCCGATTCCGAGCTGTCCTCGTCGTGGTGCTCTCCACTCTGGAAACTGTCTCGCTGAGAAGGTTGATCCTTGAGTGGAGGAGGGGTGTACGGGTCATGGCGAGGGAGGTCGCGGCCAGGCTCAGCGACCTTGCGTCCGATGGAATCAGTATAGGCACGCGGGTCTTGACCAAACGCACCACTCCAGTCTCGACCGTCGTGGTCAATCCACCGCTGGCGCTCAGCAGGCGAAGCTTGCTTTAAGATATCCCGTCCGTCGATCAAAGACTGCTCGTGCTTTTCCTGCACTTCCGCGGGGACTTCGATGTCCACGGTGCGGGAACGGACACCCTGTGATAAACACGCTTCCCAGGTCTCGAAGGTCTCGCGGGAGTCGTTGTCGACCACGAAACGCTCGTGCGACTCGTCAATGCCCGGCGAGAACTTGCATCGGAATTGCAGACGTCCCACCTCTGTTAAGTCTTCGAGTCCAGGTACTTGCTTGGCCTTCCAGTTTTCCTCCGTGACGTAATTTTGCGTCAAGCGAGCACCCATCTTTGTCGTCCAGATGGGAAGGTCGATGTTTGTTTCCTCGTTGTCGACAAGATGCTGCAGCCACAAAACAGAGTATGCTGCCGGACCTCGCTTGCCCTGGTTATGGAGCTCGAACACTATCGGGGAGCGGTATCGGTGCTTCACGGGCATGCGTAGCGAGTCGCGGAATGTCTGATCGGAGGTATCGAATATCGCATCGCTGCCTTGCATGTGGCACTTGTGCCGGGTGACCTTGCCAACGCTGCCACCGGTGCGCATCTTGATCTTAATGTGTCGACCAAAGTTCTTCGCGATGATACTTTGTCCAGCAAATTCAAAGGTGCCAACATCCCAGCCAAGCATCGGAGGTGGCAACTTGGTCTCCACGTGACGGAACAAAAGAGAGATACGGATGCGTCCAAACCCGATGCCACCATCGAGGGGATACCAGCGGGTCACTTGTGAGCTGGTTTGAAGAATATCGGACAGTTTGAGGGGAACCACGCCAAGGATGGGATCGTGCTCGCGATAGCGTTGGTCTCGGACGGTGATGGTCACGACGGCTGAGCGCCAGTCGCGGACAAATCGTTCAGTTCCTGCGTTGAAAATAGGCTTGGAACTCACAGCCTTCGCACGGGTGCGATAGATCTGAAACACGCTGTCAGAATCACTCTTTTAAAGTAGAGGGGTATGTATCTACAGATACTTACTAGTTGATCGTTCAACATAACCTTGCAGTAACTCGTTGGGAGATCTTCACCCTCTTCCTCTGTATTCTCGCCATATGGCTTAGCTGGCTCATACTCCTTTCCCTTGCGGTTGCCATCACTGCCCTTGATATTGGCAAGCTGAAGGTTGACGATCTGGTGCACAACAATGTGCACAATACCGCTGGGCCAGATTGGATCAGGTGGTGTATGCATAACGGCATCCTCTTCGTCGTTGTTGATAGCTCCCTTTTCATCTTCGAAAGTCGGGTTGCCTCTTAGGTTTTCAGGAAGGTCTTTCTTCATGCCATCAGTACGCAGCTCAGGGCGGAGTTTTGGCTTCCCAAGTGTCCAACTTCCCAATGCAACTGACCAGGCATTTCACTGCCCTCATTCATACCCTGAAGCTTCGATATCTGAGGGTACATCTGACTGGGATGCTGAAGCATCTCACGGATAGGTAACTCAACCTTGCCGACAATATCATCCGCGGTGTTGCGGTCAGAGTCCCAGAGCTCGATGCTCAAGTTTTCATCGGCCTTGATCAATTCCGGTGTCACAAGAAGGGCAGCAGTCTCTTCCCAGATTGGGTTGAGGTCATCCGTAATCACACGTGTACAATACATCGGCTTGCCATACTTCGAGAAGGACAGGTTTATGTATGGATCACTGCCGCCACCCTCACTCCCGCGAGTATCCTGCTTACTCAAGCCGACGGCGCGGTGAATGCGAATCCACATCACACCCAGAGCCAAAGTATCTTTGTGGATATCGTCTCCTGTCAACATCATGCCGAGATCCATGGTCATTGACTTGGGAGCTGCAAGCATGCCACATGCAGTACTAATGGCCGAGTTGACAAAGTTGGAGATCAAGGGTAAGTTCAGGACATTCACTCCCGTTCGGAACATTGGCATGCAGCCTGCCCTGACGTGGGGAATTCCAACTAAAGTGAAGGTCACATCCTTCATGAACGGTGCTTCGGGCATCATTTGGAAGCGCAAGCGGACAGTCCCGACAAGTTCGATCAGCTCCACGAACACGGGAAATGGCACACCAAACAAGCCTCGAATACCAAGATAGAAGACCAGTTGCATATGCATATTGCGTGCCTTTGACGAGGCACTCTGACCAGTTGGGCTTGCGTGATAGGCAAAGGAGGCTTCCAAGTTGTAATAACTCCCTCCTTCTTCGGCAGCAGCAGCTTCCTGTGGGTCCTTGTTCTTCTTGTTTTCCTCATGGATGTTGTCCTTCAGGCCCTGCACATGGTCGTCGGGCAGAGAGCGCATGCTCAGAATCCGGAGTGGGTTGCTGCCCTGGTCGATTTCTGCGATGCGAACATTCTCTACAACCTTGGGCGCAGAGACCTGCATGATATCTTCGATTGTGTCGGCCACAGGTGTCAGCATCTCAGGGTTAACGAGTCCCCACACAACGCTGAGGAAAGTGTTCATCCACTCGACAGATTCAGGAAGAAGGTTGGCAGTTGCCTTTTGAGCACAATCAGTACTTATATCCGTTAGCAAGGTGGTACACTAGAAAACTTACCATCTGGCCGCGAAGTTGCTCACTGCTCCACTCCATCGCCCGACCACTGCGAATGACTTCCTGCATCCATAGCCATACTCCACTAGTGATGCATGCGGCTAAGGGAATGAGGCCCCAAAGAGATCCTCCGCACATCCGGCCCAATATAATGATGGCAATAGGTATGCCAATGCATAAGGTCGTCGCACGCTTCTGCAATGGATCAAACATGGGCTGGTATGACACAGTTGGCGTTGGGTGGAACAGAACATTCGTCTTTTCTCCTCGAATGGGAACATCGGAGGTCGTGCCTTCGGCGATGGGATCAGGGGGTGCGGTGATGTCTTGTTTTTCTTTATACTCTGCAAGGTCTTGGTCGGCACTTGTTTGGATATCCTGAGATACGTGTTAGTCGTATGCCCGGTGAGAGGTATTCGCTAGACAACTCACCGTGGGTTTCCCAATATTTGCATTCGGAACCGTCAACTGCGAATGAATTAGACTTCATTCATGATTTATTCGAGATAATCTCACATACCATTGGATTCTTTACAGGTTCCATAGACTTCTCGTCGAGGTCTTCAACACCGATGTCCTTGCCCGTGGTCGGGTCTGTCACGGTACGCATTTTGGCCTGAGAGACTTCGCGTGGCTTATGAGCGACGGCATCTCCTCTTTTTGATCCCTTTGCCTAGCTTGCCCTGGTTGCTCTCTAGAGGTTGCTTGCGCCTTCTCACGTGTAGTCCTTTCTTTCTTGGCTCTGTTTTCTTCGTCTATCCTGCGATCTCGTTCCTTCTTCTCGGCATCGATATGTTCCATAAAGTGACTAATGGTTGGAATGGGATTGGCACCACTCCAATGCTCCCCAACCCGATGGCTCTGTGGAGCCTTGGATTGCTGACCGGTAGCCATCTTGGAGGCCGGTGAAAGCAAAGGAGATAAAGCGAATTTCGGTTTTGTCTTCACTTATCTGTAGGGTTGGTTTGTTCTGACTGTACAACGTTGTAGAAGATGAGTGCGCCTCCTCAGCACCACACCGAGAATAGAGGAATGATCGAAGAGAATTTAAGAATTGCAGAGGAGAAACACAGGAAATTTCAAGATCGACGGATGATGGAAGCTTTCCCCAGAGTTACGTCATCGATAGGGAAATGGGACTACCTAATGACGATGTTATAAGAATTCGACCTATCATTTATCTCACACAATCAAAACTGCCCACTGCCATCATTTCCCCACATCCAATGCCAATCTCACATGGACCTGGCCAGGGGTTGCCTGTTTATCCCATCTCAGCAGAATCCCAGTCTTGGCACACAGCTCCCACTTTTCCAAGTGGGTTGGCACACAAGCTGTGCATTGACAGTACAAAGTGGATGCACTGAGTCTGAAAACTTGAATACATTGTTTCTGTCCGCACTTGCCATTGCTACAGGGATGAATTTTAGCTGAATCTGTGTAATATATAGCATATGATGTCATCGATATTGAATAACCAATTGAGTGCGATATAGGCATCTCAGGCTATATATCCTTATCATTTTTCTTACCGACATAAAGCGCACATCACAATCAGTTATCTTGATTATACCTGTATGTCGGATTAAATGGGAATTAGGCTAGGGAATGAGGTATGCGAACACATGGAGAGGCCCCTGGTAAAATATCGAGAAAATGCGGGGTATATTGCGATGAGGTGGGTAGAGGAGTGGCCTGACTGGGTAAAAAGCACCATATGGCAAGAAGCTATGTTGTAGGCAAAGGTTCGTAGATCATAGTAATGATGGGCACAGGGGTAGCCTGTTAGAGCGAATTATAAGGCTGATAGCGGTTTGGATCTCTTAGGTCACCTGATCCTCTTAGTAATGCCACAACCCCGGGCAGGGTGCCCACCTCGGCAGGTGCCATCCATGGCTCTGGGATCTCGGGAGAAGCTAAGAACCAAAATGCCGGGATTTGACGGTTGTAATCAGTTATTCCTTCAATATGCATTATATAGAATACTCTTTTTTTTTTTAAAGAAATACGGTATTCTTTTGGAACTGACTTTCAGAAATTCCCATATGTGTCCCAGCATTATTTCATCTCTACATGTAGATATTTTGATCTACATGTTCTTGTATATTTTACATATGTATGTTATCTATACGATCCCAGGTGACCCCGGGGCAGCACACCTGCATGATTTCGTCTACCAGTAGTATCTTCAACAATAGCCATGACCCTGAGAGTCGGAGTTGCTAACAGCTATGGTATATTGGTGTTAGTATGTGCTAGTTTTCTAGGCATCAAGAGATGGATAACTTATGCCTCTTCGGCTGAGTGAACTCGGTTCAATCTCTATTTATTGTTGTCTGGGAGCAACCTTGGAAGCTACACCATTTGAGGATTCCATCAGAAAGCATCCCATCAAATATATATACCCACCTTAAACTATATATTTACACCGCTACATACGTTTAAAAAGATACACATAATTACTATCAACGGGCACAGAATTGACTAATTAGTATTTATCATTAAGTCATAACTAGCTAATGCTTATATGCAAGGGCTTGACTCAAATGCAGGTTGTCACGTGGTCATGTTAATCAGACCAAAAATGCGCCTGATACTCTGTTCATGACATTATTTATTATTTTTTATCCAAAGGGGACGCACCTAGAACGAGGAACAATTGACTATTACAGTAACATGAATACGATGTTCACTTCTGGTCAACATTGAACCGAGAAGGGGAGGTTAGCCATACTATCTCTATATTTGGGTGGACCCGTTAAAAAAATGTGAAAAAAGGGGCATGCCAGATGGTCCCTGAGTACGAACTTGTATTATACGGTGTCCACGTGAATGATGCTTATTTTCAGGACGTGAAGCAATCCATGGGTGCAATGATATAAAACTGACAATATAGAATCGTCTATTTCTATTGGAGGACTCCTGGAGACCTGGCCCACATTACCCACTATGATTGGCTGGAAATTTTAGCAGCCATTCAGCGTGAAGCATACATCATATGGGGCTCGACCTTGGGAGGTTACAATATTACCGACTAAGACTTGGTGTTGAAGATGCTTGAACTCATGGAATCCATTCTATTCGTTTTGTTTTAATCAACACTTCATATTTCAGTAATCTTGAAATATAGCCAACACATAAAAATATGTGAGCATCAAATAATTACGGCAACGTTGACACATACCATGGCTTTCCTAAATGAGCCAACAGTGGGCCGTTAGGCTCTCGGTAAACTACAGGTACCAATCGTACCAAACAATGTTCAACCGGGAGAGTGAGCCCGCCAATCACAGGTGCCATATCTCCTGTCAAAACAGACTTGTTACAAGCTATACTCCGGCCATCGATACTCCCACCATTGGCAGGGATATTTCACTGCTGAAGGGGGCTTTTCTTCCCGCTTCATCACAAGCGCGTTGGTTTGTGCGTCTCACATTTCCTATTATTGTTCGCTTAGGACTCAGCACTGACAATGAACAGCGGGCCAAGTCGTAATGAGCAGAAGGCCATCTCTTCGTCACTCTTCGCGGTTTGAGCCCCTTCCATCTGCCCCTCACAATGATAATGATCATCTCATCTACGACACAGCCGAGTTCGAGAGCAGCCAAGCCTCCCCTTTGACCCCACGCGAGTCGACAGTCTTCGGTGCATACCCTTCCTGGAGCACACCTGGAATCACCGGGGAACAGCCAATGAACGCGAAAGTGGCCATTCCCCGACTCGAGCCCCCACTTGCAAACAGTAATGGTAGAGTCAGTCGAGCATGCCACAACTGTCGCAAGCAGAAGAACAAGTGTTCTGGCCATCGGCCATCTTGCATCCGGTGTCAGGAGGCCAACGTGCTTTGCGTCTACGTCGATGGGAAACGAGAGAGAAACGCTAGGTCTGTGACTTTCCTGAATATGGTGGCCCAAAATATTTACCCAAGCACTTAGACAACTCACAGTCATAACGAGCCAACTCCAACACTACGAATCTCTCGTGCGCGATATTTATCCGAAGTTCGACACCGAGCTGGCCAAAGTCGTTGACCAAGCTCTCGGAAAAGTGAGCGAGCACCCCATGATCCCAACCAAGATCAGATCTCTAATCAATCTAACAACCCATAGATATCTAGTCTCTCCCTCTCGTCGCCGACCGTCGCCAGATTACCCGATGAGGCAGAATCGTCAAGCCGAACACTTTCCTACGTTGATCACACCCTGGAGGACTTCAATGGAGACGTCTCACTACAATCGATTGGCTTTGTAGGAGAACATTCAGCAACGGCATGGTTATACAGGCTTAAGTGCTTGGTCGGTCAGAGAAGTCCCAAACCGCACGGTCAACTGGAGGAAGCAATCCGTCCGTCGATTTCATCCTGTGCATTATTTATGGATGATGCCGGAATCCAGCCGATGAAAGACCTAGATGTCCTCGCGTATCCCTCACAAGCGGTCGCCGATGAACTCGTGGAGAGATACTTCCAGGTTGCGCACGCCTCCTTCCCCGTCATTGGAAAAGCAATTTTTCTAAGCCAGTGTCGATCATTCTATTCACACTCAACAACCCACCCTGGAAATAAGTGGATGGCGTTATTGAACATGGTGTTTGCGATCGCTGCAAGACATTTCGAGCTTTCCGGAGACCAGCCTGAGCTAGATCACAATATCCACGGGGTGTACTTTTCCCGTGCCTGGCGATTACACACTAGCGAGAGTGTGCTATTGGAGAGTCCCAACCTGCAGCAGACACAGGTGGAGGGGCTAATATCCCTTTACCTGCTTTCCGTCGGACAGGCCAACAGGTAGGTTGAATACCGCGAGCCTTTACTTAGCCACTGATTTTGGTTTAGGGCATGGAGAAAATGTGGCATTGCAATACAGTCCGCGGTCGCGATGGGAATCCATCTTCGTAGCGAATGCCCCAGCATCACGCATGTGTCCAAAGAAACCAGATACCGGCTATGGTGGGCGCTGTACCTGTTGGACATCCTGCTCTGCGTCATGACCGGACGCATGCCCAGAATGCAGCAGGAACACTGCACGACCCCTTTGCCGGTGCCTTACAAGGAAGAAGACTTCCGAGACGAGCATGTAATGAGGCTTATCATGGACATCGGATCCAGAGGCCGTCTTATGACTTCTTTACTCTCGTTCGATCCCTCCACTGAACCGAACGATCGTCTATCCCACTCTCCTTCTCCATCCATGTCCCAGCAGGCATCAACCAGCCCGCATCTCCAGGCTAACGTCTCATTGTACTTACTTTACTCCATTGACTTGGCAGCTGTGATGAGAGAAGCAATCGAGATCTTGTATTCTCCCGAAGCGGGAAGAAAATCACGAAATGACACCGAACTGGCCATGACGTCGCTCAACAGCGCCGCCGACAACTGGTTTGCTCGGCTCCCTGCGATGTATCGTTTCATGGAAACCAGAGATGACCGAGCCTTTGTCCGTCAACGCACGAGTTTGGCTTTCCAATATTATTCAACCAAACTCGTCATTTCGCATCCTGCCCTTCATTCTCAGATGTGCGGTGAAGTCTACCCCACTGGTCTTGACACTCCAATGGCGACGATCTGCCTCAATGCAGCGGGCCAAATGCTTGATCTCTTACCCAATGAACCAAACATCGCCTGGCTCCTGGGTTGCTCACCTTGGTGGTGTGCTCTCCACTATCTCACGCAGAGCACCGTGGTGCTCATAACACATTTGCTCACCCAGTCTCAAATGAGAGCTGGTGAAAGAGAAGAGTCATTGCAAAGAGTCCAAAAGGCTCTGCGATGGTTGAGTGGGTGTTCCGCCAAGGATCCCTCTTGTAAGCGGGCCTGGGGTAACTTTACAGAGCTCTTGTCATCCCAAGGATTGAACATTCTACAATAACATCTCTCGGTCACCTGATACACCCTAGATCTCCTTGGGTCCTTTTCCCTTTGTTTACCTCACGTATACAAGTATTACTGATTTCCTTCACGATCAGCGTCTCATGCCCCTATTTCAGACATATTTATGAGAGTTCAAACCAAGGTAGAGTGCGATGTCTTGTTTGTTGGACATCTGGCGCAGTACGATACCTTAACCGGATAGAAACCAGCCATTTTGGAAAAGGGACGTCGATTGATGTATTCGAGGGTACACGTCACAGGGCAGTGATCCTGGGAATTCAACAGAACGACGAACCAGGCAATATCCAAATATCGACCACTTAAATTTCCTGGATATCGACTCGGTGGGGAATACACAGCCTCAAGAATAGATCCAGGTCAAGAGTATAGATGTAATAGTTGCCACTTGGATGTTTGGTGTATGGAGTCCCCCACACATGACGTCAGCATTCATGGCCCAAACAGGCATATATAGTCAAAAAGGTCATAGGATATGAGAATTGACTATTTCTCTCTTTCTATTCTCTCTATCAAAAAATTCCATGCAAATTGTACATACCCAATAATGGCCCCGAGATATATTGTAAATCTTCTTCTCCTTTTGTTACATGAACCCTACTAACCAATAAGGTAACCTTCCAAGACTCAGCCGCGACTGAGGAGATCAACGCCTACATACACCAAATCCACGAAGATGGAGGCTTTGTCATAAATAGATTCCCGGACATGATCGCCAGGGGCTTTCAGTACGTGTCTTTTCCACAGAGATCTAATGGGATATCGTACTGATTTATGTTCTAGAGCACATATAACGGACTCAGTCCTTCATAGGCTCGAATCGGACTCTATTATCGAGAATATAACGCCCGATGCTTCTTAGCTGGTCCTCGATCATCTCATCTGTCACGCCTGTACATCTTAGCATTCTTTCAATATTCCCTCCTCATTCATGTATCTTACGCATCTAATGATATAACATTCATCTTCCAATTCGTTAGCCTTGACCAAGAATCTCCGACATAAGACGAAGTAAGCAAACAAGAAAAGGAATAGCATTGACAAGAGACGGATCAAGGCCCCATTGCTGGGAGACCAAGGTATCTACCAATGACAGGACCGCCCAAGGCACGTCGGATAACTCCAAGGATACTTCGGATAGAAACCACACAATAGTATGCCAAAATACCAAAACCAAGAGAAAAGGAGAAAAAAAAAAAAAGGCAAGGCATGTATTCGGCAGAAACACGTCCCAACTGTACACGTCGTCACAGGCCCATATCCCAATAATCCCAATTAACATCATAATCAGCCAAAAATGGAGTCTTGAAACGTGAACTGAGAGTCGAGAGCCCAAAACTCAGCAGGCGGGTCAAAGCCCAAACCGTTATCCGCCAATTGGGCGGTTTCCGGAACCTGCCCATTTGCATAACCGAGGTCCGGGATCGTGCCCATCCACGAAGATGATGGGTAATATTGTCCAGGAATGGTGCTGGGCATTGTTGGCATCGCTGGCAGCGGTGGAGTAGCAGCGGCAATATGTTTCGATGCTTGGTCAACGACGGCACGACGTTCGAGGTATATCGTGCCGAAATAAGGAATATCAAGCTTGATGCGAATAGGCTTCTCATTCTCGTATTGGTGTCCTTCTGATTCGTCAAGTGGCGGAGGTTCCGTTCCCATTCCTATCGCCTTGATAAGCTTCAAAACGCGCAACGCCCGGGTTGCAATCTTGTCCGGAGGACCGCTCTTCGATACTTGCTCTAGGACAGCCACAACCCGGTCGAGAGCGAAGTAATCTCCTTTGGTAAAATCCTGGGGGCCAAATGGTCCGAGTGCATTGACAATGATAGTCATTGCCGTAGTGAAGGCTTGGAAATCAAGAATTTTCGAGTCAAACCCCTTTTCCGTGGTGCGTCGGATATTGACATAGCAAGCGATGATGTTGCGGCAGGCCTGGAGACAGGTTTGCCGATTATAATTATAGAAGTTATCAGTACCTGATGCTAGTAGGAGAGGCAGGTGTAGCCAAACCGTGAGCTGATAGTACCATAACCGATAGTAGAGCTCAAGGAAACAAGAGGATCGCTCAGTACACTTGCCTGGCGGAACGTTGTCGGGTGACGCCAAAGGAGGGGGATTGAACGCTTGAAGTTGCAGATCGATGCTTTGTGTCATCTGCATCATGGCCGGAGTGACCTCTGTAAAGGTCTGATTGCGCTCAATGATTGATCCGGCTATCCGAGCAAGGGGGTTCAGAACAGATGCATTGTGGACAGGCAAATCTTGAGGGTCGCTTGGGTTGGATTGATACAGATCTATTGCCGTATTGGATATAGCTCCATGTACTCCAAGGATCAGAGAAAGATGCCTGTCGGTCATGAGGATGTGTCTCCAAATGAACGTAGCCCGATGTTGAAACTCGGCGCTTTCACTGGGAGCTGGTTCAGCACGGTGGAACCCGATTAGCTGAGCGATGTTTGCAGCCCGACGATTGGAAAGCCATGCACTTCGTATCTTCCCGTCATTGCTAAAGAGCAACCCTTGCAGAACCAAGCACTCTAGCCCATCGATACAACTGACAATAGAGTCATCAGAGCAGACGAGCGTGGAAACGCGGGTGATGCATTCTTCAACTAGGACCCATGGGAGGCAGGGAATATCGAGAGAGGACGAATCAAACTCCGAAGGCAGCTGTTGGAGACACAATGCAATCCACAGGATTGCCTTACCAATCACAGTTGGATGACTAGTCGAGAGCTCTCCCTCCGAGGACGAAAGCAATGATTTATCGTAGTCTTCAAGTAACTGCACGCGCATAAGCCACCAGCTACTGCTAGCCTCTGATATAATTTCAACGTCTTCTGGGTGGGTATCAAGGCTATCAGATCGCGGCGCAGTTTGCCCCAATCCCGGTTGATCGTGCCATATGGTGTAAAATCGGGTCCAATGGTCTCTGATAGTTTGAAACCTAGCTATTAACCAGTAAGCGCGAGCTAGGGGAAATTGCAGATCCCTAATATGAGTTGCGACACGAACCGACTCGTCAAAAAGAGACAAAACTGGAGCATTGTCCGAAGCTGGTGCCACGGTCGGGGGATTCGATTCGGGACTGGTTTCCGCTGTATCTATGGGCGATTTCGAGTCATGCCGTTGATGGTTCCCACCGTCAACACGTATCAGAAGTTTTTCCAACAGGTTCTCCATTCGAGCCATCCGCTCGTTCACGTATGCGCGGTCCGACTCGCGGGGATTCTCAGGCTCTGGCAATTCTTGGCTGCGACATGGAAGTCCCCGGGCGAGACATTCTTTGCAGTTCTGGTCGGTATCAGACGCAAAAATGCAGCGGACTTTCCGGTGTTTGCCTGTGTGCGCAGAAAACAACCGTTAGGGATAAATCACGAATTCGCTTATATCAAGGGGCTCTTGTACATTGCCAGCAACTGCGGGTCCCCTTTCGGATCTTCTTCCGAGGCAGATCCCCGGGCCGCGCCTGTGGATCGTGGTTCGAGTGCATCATCTTGCAGGAGAGAAAGTCTTACTATTCACCCAGAACACGGGTGGTAAGAACTCTCAATAATTCGAATTATCCCACATAGGTTGTACAGTCAAGGTCGGGGAAGAACCGGGCAACCCGTCAAACAAAGCCCCCCAAACCTGATCGAGTTGGTGCCGTCTGACCGCCTCCTCCCTTCCAATTGTGGGATGCAATACAGCAATGCGACTTACTGTCTTCATCTTCATTCCTTTTCGGAGTGAAATGCGAAAAAGGTCCGGTTCAACCATGACGCCATCACCTTGAACTGCAACCCAGGGGGTACCTTCAAAGCAAAGTCCGTGATTGGCTCGACATGGAATTCTCGAGGCACAATACTAATGCTCACGCCGGGGAGTTCAGCCTGGGAATGACAACTTGTTAGAGAAAATACGAGGCTTGTGGAAATCGCCTCACCTTCATCTTATCGGCCGTCTGCCTAATCGGATCCAACAGGACTTCGTCTCCTCCCGCGCCAATAAAGATGTTTGAAACAGGAAGGTCTCTCCACCAGCCCGCTGGCGCGTCGGCGGGGCAGTTGTACTCATCTTCCACGGTTTGACCCAGAAATATCTGTGCCCAGCTATTCAAAGTCTGAGCCGATATAACGTCTCTATCCGCGTTTTCATTGGAGCTCGGGTGATCAGTTCTGAAATCAACCCAAGGGGACAACAACATCGTTCCTCTGAGGGGTCCATCAACCGAAAATCTCGGCACGAGGTCTTGAGGATGTGGGTGAGCAAGATGTTGATAGTAGCGCAAGTGCAAGATGAGCGCCTGCCGAGTCACCCTGAAGAATAATGTCTGACGGTTGTTTTCCCAGTCTCTGAATGGCATACTGTAGGACTGTAACGGCCTGTTGCAACTGACGAGGCCATCGGGCTTTGGGGGCAAGCTCATAGGCAAGGAATAGCACACCGATGCTTTTGCCATGTTCTTTTATGTCTGTGGAGAGAGCTCCGAGATAGCTAAAGTGGCCAGGTAGCGCAGGGAGGCAGTAGCCGCCACCGGGAAAGTATATTATCAACTTTTCGGAAGCAGGATCACCAAGCCAGAATGCCATTGTACCTTCAGGAAGAACGAGTATGTTGGGTGAGGCTTTTTGTAGTTTCATATGGGCTTCGTAACTTTTCTGAGCGGAAGCGGGGGGAAGAACAAGTCTGCGAGATGTTGTTAGAATTGTTTCTTTGTCATGCTAGGGGATCTGGGTCTGAGTATTTTCCTGGGCTTTTCTATCCCGAGGCAATATTTCAACTCACTGAAGCTGCTCCATGGATGCATTTTGAAAGAGGGTGCGCGTAAAAGTCAGGCAATATGCTTGTAGAAGGTGGCGCCCCCATTCTGACCACGGAATGGAGCAATAATGGCAGTCCATATAGCAATAACAACTAAATGTAAGCTGCATCAGATGTCATGTTTGTCAACTACAGTGGTCTCTCATTGGCTACTTACGGGATTTGGTCACTGCAATCCCTAAGCCTAATGGCAAGGGAACCGTAGGGTGCGAAGATGTCTGGATTGTTTCAAAGTCGGAAAATATTGGACTCATAAGATACTGTGATTCAAGAGCCCTATTCAAGAAGAAAAGAGATTTCGTTGGGTCTTGGTGCAGGGAGCTTTGAGTATAGTGTAGCAGATCCGCCGACTCGGCGAAACAAAGCCCCAACTTTGGACCAATCAGCCGATTTGTGATCTGCAAGCAAAGAAAAGGGGGATTAAAAGGAGAATGAAAGGGGAAGTTGGACTTGGTAAATTGACGGGAGTTGAAAGTGGAAAGTTGGGAGAACGTGGAAGGGTCCAAGGCTGTCCAAGGCGCCAAATTATCTTCGGTGAATTTAAGAGTATCTATGTAGTATTATGTTACTCCGGTTATTTCTGAAATTAATATGTATTTCTCTGATCTTAACTAGAGGGGCGTCAAGATCTACGAGAAAAGCTAACGTATTCGCAGACATAACAAAGTAAACTACAGATATTGCGGTCATCGTAAACAGGTCTATCGGTATATCTAATTTGGAGACAGAAGACGTAGAACTACATGTAGCATATAAGCTAATAAGTGTATTGCAAGATGAAGAACAATATATAAGAATTTCACAAGTTAGAAAAGTAGAAAAACACTAGATACCTAAGACCCGATGAATAAAGACAAAATACGAATAAGAACATATAGCTTGGCTCAGTCACAAATGCCCAACTCACCCTTTCTTCTGAGCTTTCTTCGCTTCAGTCTCTTCTTCCTCCGCCTTGCGCTTCCTCGTCATCGACCTTGTCACGCGAGTTGATATGGTCCTAATCGGAAGCTCAACTGAGGGGACAACAGGAGTAGCATGGTCCATCTCCTCAATAGCAAACCGCAACTGCAAAATTTCGAAGGTATGAAAGCTTCTGATTTGTGAAATCCGATGGGTTCCACGTCGGAAGGCCCCCAGAACCAAATGTGCCACAGTCTTCCCAATCTTTGTCCCTAGTAGGGCCTCGAACTCCGGGGTTCCCGATTGCCAATCGTGTATCTCCTCATCTGGCCAGACGAGGCCATTAGCCTCGGTATAGAGCATGTCCCTGGCAAACGAAACAGTATCCTTATTGCAAACGTCGACCATATAGACATACTTCAATGTATCAATCGAGAAGTGGTTCTGGTAAACGGCCTGGCAGATTCCGGACATGAACAAACCGGGTGTTTTCTTTATTTCTTCAACAATCAACACCCCGGGCGCTATTTGCCCTTCCCAGATATGAAGGTCCGGGTAGTCGATATCGTCTGTAGCCTCAGGTTCACCTATAGAGATCATTTCCCATGCTCCACCTCTTGGTCCCACTATATTGAGTTGTGCAAATTCATCTTCAATCTGGGCTGGAATATAGGGATTCATTTCCATATCTATTTCGAATCGATTGGACTTCCTGAGGTCTTTGAGTTCCAGCGTAGAAGGCTGAATTGGACATGCTGCCACAGACGTGTCAGATTCTGGGCGTTCCATCCATTGCTGTAGTAATCGGCCAGCGGCTTGTCGCTCGCCGTATTTGAGAGTGGTAGAAGTCATTGGAGGGGAGCTGGAAATTTCAAAATTGGATTGGTATGTAGATTGCTGTAGAAATGGTGATATCAACCCAAGGCCTTGAAGGGACATTGCTGCTTTATATATGTCAAATTTTGTTGACCAAGGCAACCTTTATGGATATTAGTGAATCAGCGACTTGTGGATTCTGTGCTTTGAACTAGTGTTTGGCCTTTCAACCTGAGTGTCATCAACAGACAATAGACAAAGACATAGACTCGAAAGAATCGAAATCAAAGGGCTAAATTTAAACCCTGCAGTATTTGAGAAGATGTACTATCTGTTTGATTGGACTCGAGTGTGTACTTCCGGTCATAAATAGTAACATGTGCTTTCAAAGACTGAGATAATGGGTATTTCATTGCCTTTGACGTCTTGTAAGCAGTGGAAACCATGGTTCCTATCCTCGAGAATAAAGAGTCGAAATACTAAGCAATGTTAAAATCCCAAAATTAGACATGAGAACAACGAAAGCAAAGGTTCATGACCCGTCAAGACCACATCGTTGGCTGATACAATGACAATAGACTTGCAACGAACACACAATGGGATAGTTAGAACAACAATGAATATCGATATTACCAGAACATCCTCACGTCGTATGAGAGTTAATAGCACAGCTTGCAACTGAAGAGTTTATGGCAAGCACGATTAGTCTTAAAAGGCTTTTCTTTGTCCAAGAATGGCAGTTATATTGAGGGTCTGATACTAGCAGTGGGTTCTTTGTCCATTTTGGTATTGCTTTCGAATCCTGTACCACAGTTCATATTTATGTCAAAGAGCTGGGGAAAAAAAAGGGAATACGTACCTTCTCGCAGATGCTGTAGGGCTAAGCGCCATTTTCAACGTCCCCTGCTGACGCGATGTGATCATTTCTTGGGGCCGTTTTTGCCGCAAACAACTGCGAACCAAACCGGGAGGCTAATAAGGCTAATAAATTGGATGAAGCAAAGTGCCGAGGCCAAGATGGTTAGAGCTGGAAGTTGGGGCCAGTCCTTTGAACTCGTCTTCTTCAATATCCCCTCTGCCTCTCCAATTTTGTATGCACTGCCCAACCACCACAACACCACAGCAGAAGTACATCTCCCACTAACGACAACCCTCACGGCGCCCAATGCATGTCTGAAGGACGTTTCTAGATGGCCAAGCCCTCAGGCTGGGACTGGGCGAATCTAGGTCTTATTAACACTACAGAATGTCTAGCACGTGATGTGCGCCACTATCCTACTATTCGCCGGGCTTGCAACTGGATCCTGGCCGCTAACTTTATAGGCGAGAAAGAGACAACAAGAGAAATGCTGCCCTTTTGTATGTATATGGCTTCAAATTTATGGAGGTTTGGTTCCAACGCTAATATGTCATTTAGTACACGAAGTGTGGAGGCGCCGGCGTCCGCCGGCGTGCCAAGCGATATCTGTCACTAGGAGTTGCTAATAGGCCGATCCGACATCAATATCGTTGATCTGTACCTATACCATGGATAGTTCTACAGAAAAGGAAACTAAGCTCGAGGGCACCACGAGGTAATAACTGAGCGCATACGGAGTCCAGCGTAGTTGAAATAAACCGACCGAATTTTAGTTCTGCCTTCCGCTTTCATGACGCCTACGCCTACTTTTATAACCACATAGGTGTAGCAGATCTGCCTACCACGATATCAGGAAATCAAGCCACTGCAGTGGAGTTCTCGGGCATATTAACGGGCGCGATGGTAGGAAATCCATGGATAGGGACACGTGCTAGAATATGGCGTATTCTGGTTGCATTGGCACTCGGATGGCTTTGCGGCTTCCACAGAAGGAAGGTACTATGGCTTACTAGGATCCAAGGAACCAATTTAGTTTATCGCAATATAGAACCGTGAGCCAATCCTCTATTATGAAAAGGATGGTTCGCAGATGAGAAGACAACCTACTGAACTACGGTGTAGCATGGATACAATGTCCTGATATTCTTTGGCGATTTATAGATGCACTATACGAAATCATATATTGTTTATTTATTTGGTTTTCGACTGTGTCTTTTGTCTCACATTGGATTACAGCCACCTTTTCTCGACCTCGGGTTACCGTCGGAGAGGTGTGAAATTAGCTAGTATCCTGTTATGCGTCCCACTATCCTATCATGCCATGGTAGATGGTCTTGTGGGATGATTAAACTGTGTAAACGGTCTTGATGGAGTAAATGGACTATCATTCCATCCTATCTCTCATCTGTCCCACGTGCGAGAGTTCGCCAAGACTTCTAAGCTTGGCGGACGACTGGGGTTGGCTGGACTGGCTTGGCATTCCGTTCCCTTGGCTTGGCAAAGGGGTTCAAGCTTCCCAGGCAAACTCCAGGATTCCGCACGTGCAAATCTGGCCTATTTCCTATTCGCTCCCAAACAAACCATGTATCTCGCAATAATACTCCTCTCGAGGTATATGGATATTTCGGAGATTTGAATACTCTGGATTATCTTGGCGAGAGGCTCTTGGCAGGAGGCTCGCCTGAAATTAGCTCTGAAGCTCGTTGTACAACGTACTTAACAGAGGTGCTTTCTCGCTGAGTGCAAATCTCTTGGTTTCATCACGTTCGCCCCATCAAGATGCGTGCCTCTTCAATCTCCGCGTTGGCATGCTTTGCCTCATTCGCGGCAGCCCAGACCTTCCAGCGTTTGGGCGGTTGCCCTGACTTGGGATGTATCTTCCCGCCGGACCAGTACGTGATGTTTCAATTGCGCCTGGTTACTAGCTACTAATGACTATTTCCAGGGTCGACTTCCTTGCTGGTCAGTACTTCGACATCCGTCTCGAGGTGCACTCCCCCGTCAATGGCTCCGAAGCTCGTGTTGGAGAGCCCGACGAGAACTTTACCTTCACCATCGCCAAGAAGGGAAAGGAAGCTGTCACCGCACCGGAATACTTTAAGATTGATGAACCTGAGCTGGAGAGGTGGAACTTCACATGGTTTGAAGGTAATACCCTCCTACCATGCAGCCCCGGGGAACAAATAAGCTAATAGAAACAGACCGATTCGCCGAGGACGCAGAGAAGCCCTCCCTTGTCAACGTGACCTCGAAGATCTATCGCAGAATTGCCCTCTATGAGCCCGGCGAATACGAGGCTACCCTGACCTACTACGGAGAACAAAAGACAGTCGCCAACTGGTTTGTTCGCGATCTCCCTACCAAGCGACGCGCGAAGAACGTCGTGATGTTCATCGGAGATGGCATGACAACCAACATGATCACTGCAGCCCGCCTCATTGCCCACCGCAGCGTCAACGGCAAATACATGACAACGATGGCAATGGACAAGTTCCCTGTGCTGGGACACCAGATGACACACTCCATGGACTCATTCATTACTGACTCGGCCAACTCCGCCACCGCTCTTTACACCGGCCACAAGACCACCGTCAATGCTTTGGGTGTCTATGTTGACTCCTCCGAAGACACTTTCGATGACCCGAAGTTCGAGACAATCGCAGAAATCTACCGCCGCAAGAACCCGAACGGCGGTGTCGGCATTGTCTCAACCGCCTTCTTGGCAGATGCCACCCCTGCTGGTCTGGGTGCTCACACTAGCGACCGCGGCGACTACGACCACGTCATCAGCGCCTACTACGAGAGTCTGACCGACTACGAGTGGACAAACTGGAACGGCCCCGATGTGCTCCTTGGCGCTGGTGCAGAGAACTTCGTCAAGAGCGAAGAAACCCGCGATTACTACAAGCTCTTCGCCGAGAAAGGTTACAACGTGGCCTGGAACAACACTGCCCTGAACAACGCCCCCAGCGACGAGAGACTGCTGGGCGTTTTCTCGACCGACAACCTGCCCACTTGGCTCGATCGCAACGTCTACCAGTCCAACCTTTACAACCAGAGCAACTACCCCGACGGTTCGGACCGCGACGCCGACGACCTTCCCGGCCTCAAGGAGATGACCCTCAAGGCCGTCGACGTTCTCGACAAGCGCCACCGCAAGGACGGCTGGTTCCTGATGTCCGAGGCCGCCAGCATCGACAAGCAGATGCACACTCTGGACTACGACCGCTCCCTCGGCGACCTCCTCGAGCTCGACGATACCGTCCGCGCAACCATCGAGAAGCTCGAGGAGCTCGGCGAGCTTGAGGACACCCTCATCATCGTCACCGCCGACCACGGCCACGGCTTCGACGTGACCGGCTCCGTCGATACCGAGTACATGGAGGCGCAGACGGACGACCGCAGCAAGCGCAACGCGGTTGGATACTACGAGAACTCCGGCTTGTCTCAATACACCGTCGCCGGCTCCAACGCCCTCCGCTACTCCGAAGGCGTCCACTTCCCCGCCCAGTGGGACCCGAGATACACCTTCCACGCGGGTGTCGGTGCCTTCCCTGACCACCGTGAGGATTACCGCGTTCACAGCGAGGGTCCCCGCACACCTGCTGTTGAGGACGAGAAGAAGGGATACGTTGCTAACTACAAGGATGCCGTCACTGGCTTCTTGGTCAATGGAAACATGCCCCTTGATTCGGGCCAGGGTGTCCACTCGCTGACCGACGTGCCGGTCTTTGCCCGTGGCCCTTGCCAGGAGCTGTTCGGAGGTGTCTACAACTCGATCGATATCTTCTTCCACATGGCGGAATGCCTGGGATTGTCGGAGACGAAGAGAGCTGGCCAGCCTCCCCATGGTGGAAAGCATGATTAAATTAATTGGGGACCGTTATGGTGTCAAATAATTCGAGCCACATCTTACGGCTCCTGTGTACAAGAGAAGAATATGATGTAGATGTAGTATGATGTATAAGAGAAGAAAATAAGACATTATGTCAATGAGAACTCAGCTTGTAATTTATCATCCTTTAAATATCAACACCTGCGCACGCAAGATATACATGTAAAGTTGAACACCAGTCTATTTACAATGGCCCAGCCAATTGATGCCATATATCAGTCAATACTTACCAAAACAAATCTATAAAACAACCATTTCTAACGCTGGAAACATAATATATGTTCACCGTGATAACCGAGTTTAGGTGGCGTTGTTGGCACAAGTCCAGCTAGCCTTGGACGAGCTCTCGTTGATAGCCAAGCCCGAGACGTAGAGTCCCAATCCGCACTAGTCTTGTCAGCAGGAAATCCAGAATCACGCGGAGAGACAAAACATACAATAGCAAAAGCAATTCCAAGTATGATCATGTTGACAATAGTCAGGACGATCTTTCCAGTCGATGAGAACCAGTGTCCCCAGTTCATGTAGAGCCAGAAAATGGCAGGGAGGCCGTCTGTTCTCGGTTAGCAATCGATTTTGCAATAATGTCTCAGTCTCAGAAATCGACTTACAGCTGAACCAGCTTCCAAATAGGGAACTCTGCACAACAAATTAGTACGCGTTTAGTAATAAACAGCAAGAAACCTCGGGAACATACAATCAGACTCAACAACTCGTTGAACACAGGAATGGACTCGGCGATGATCCACGCGACGGTCCAGGTACTCAGACCGATAGCGACCCATGTACCCGTAGCCAAGAAAGTCTTCTGGTGCATGTGGTGCGAACGCTCGCCGCGGAAGATTCGAACATAGATATACTTGCAAGCAACGTGGCCGAAAACAACACCGGCAACAATGACCTATGAAAGATTAGACATATTCCCGAATCAACTATAAGGAGACAAATAACACACCGTTGGGATGGCAAGACCGTAGGCAACCTTCTTCATCATAGGTCCAGCGGAAGACAGAGCCGGGGACGCGACAGTCGGGCCGGCATAGCAGTAGATGACCATAGCAGTCACGACGTACATAGTAGTATCGATAACCTGCAGCATAGCGAGGGCCTTGGGGAAATCGGCGGGATCCTGCATTTCCGACATGATACCGAAGAAAGAGACGTGGGCAACGAAGGCGAAGACGATGTTGGTGACGGCCAAGAAAGCATCCTGGAAGGTCGGGGTCGTGACGATATCGTTTTGGACATTATCGGGGGCCTGGACACCGATGGCAACCATCGTGACGACGGTAGCTACCAGGATACTGATGGCGGAGATGATGGACATCCAGAAGACCTTCTCTGCTGTACGCGGGAGGGCGGCCAGACAGCTGACGACCAAACCGACAACTCCGAAGACAATAGTGCAGGTACCGTGGTTCGTGATGGTGTTGAACAACACGGAGAAGGTGAGAATGTGACTGGCCATCAAGAAGATGATGAACAGGAGCTGGCCGACGAAGAAAATCTCGCGTCCGATGGGGCCGAGAAGAAGCTCGCCGGCATCACCCATGCTGTGTACCTGCGGGAAACGCTTCTTGAACTGGCCCATGGTATATCCAGTGTACCAGGAGATGCCGGACAAAAACATAATGATGACAAATGCCCTAAAAGATGGTCAGTCTTCTTCCTGCGTCGTCGAGGCAGATATTTTCTTACGGGACAATTCCGAGAGTTGCTACCGCAGACGGAAGAGATAGAATACCAAGCGAGATGTTTTCAGCGACCATCACTAGATGAATATTAGAAAGGGGTTCCTGTTGATTAGGGTTCATGATGGGCTCTCACGGGTTCCAGCTTGCCTGTATAAAAGTCAGAACTGTGCTCCTCAACACAAGAAAAACAGCAAAGCAGAGTGAGATACTTACCACCATGGCATAATGCGATACTTCACTTCCCCAGATTCTTCATTTCCAAAGGGATCATCATTGGGCTCTACCGGGTAGGCCTTCTTCTCCATATCGGTTGAGTCATTGTATACTTGGTCCTGAACAGGATGAGGTGCTTCAGGGAGACTCATGTTGAATGGTATATGATATGAAAAAGTGAAGAAAGGAAAACGGTCCGGGGCGAGAGAAAAAGAGACAGAAAACCGTGTGTGGAGGCCCAAAAAGGAACGGTTGGCCCAGATTTTTTGCTTGGCGGAGATAAAGGCCAAGAGAAGATTCTATTACCAGATATGTAATGCTAGTCGAGCTGCTGACTGTGGGGGGAGGCCAATCGTCTAATCACGAACTCGCTTAAGCACACTCTGGGGTGTCCTCCGGGGTAGAATGCCAATGAGGTTGCAACTCTGACGACGGCGTTGAAAAATGCGTTCATGGGTTTGGCTACCGAGACCGGGACAGGATTATCTAATCATATCTTCACCGGTGCGCCGTCCACATTTGTGGGGTATTCGGCGTCGGGCGAGCCAACCCCGTACGCGGTCTGCACCCCGATTATAGACTTACCGGCCCGGCGTACCCGGCCCGGCGTTGAATATCCTAGAGGCAACTATCTCGACGATAACAAGTTTAGAAAAATTTAGTCAAAGATTTATGTACTGTCCATGGATTAGGTTTACCCCAACTTCAACCCCAGATCATACAATTTGCCTGTCAAAGGCCAGTTCTCAAGGGAAGTTTTAAAGTAATTGTACATAAAGCTTGGAAAAAGTAGAATCCAACGGTGGCGTTTAGCTTTGCTGCAAGATTGGCACTAGAATTTTCTCGAAGCAAGACTCGGCTACCTATCAGACCTCGGGGCTGGAGACTCGGTCATATCACATTGTTTCCCAAAACCCCGGGTCTTGGCGGGTTGGGCTCCAGTGCTGTTTCAGGGGAATTGGGGTCGATGAATCCCGCATGGATCCGATCCATTTTCTCAGTTAGGATGCGGGGTGTGGGCATGTTTAGCGTAGAACTTGAGCTCTTTTTATTGAATCATAACGCGAAGACTAACTAGGCAGTTTAGTGCGAAGTTCTTGATAAAGTACCTTTTGTGTGGAGCCGCCATACAAAAGGTACCGATTATCTTTAAATTTCTTCGTTCTTTGGTCCTCCATGTTGTACTTTGATATAAGAGGGATCTTCAAAGATGACAGGGTTGGCTACTTTTGCAAATCATCGAGTATACTTTGACTATGACATCAATTTGCCTTCCCATGATGCAGTCTCGTTAAGAATGCGGGTGGCAAACCTTGAATATGAGTACATTTTGTACTGCGTTCACATACAAAAGGTACTTAATCAACGACCTCGGGAATTTGGCGTCGAGCCCGTGCGGCCGCACCCCTTAACAAGAACTTGAATCTGTCACCTCGGGCATCCTCGGAAGACCTAATTGTTAAATGGGAATACCATCAATTTCCCCTCCAATTGATTGTACGTTTGTCTTCCAAATTTTCCGTCTTTTCTCCAAGTGTGTCGGTTATTCAGAGTCTATGAATCCAGTTTGGGAACCCAGCCATTGTCCTCAAGAACTGAGAAAGGCCCTTGAGGAGGTTAGTACGAGATGTAACATCAGGCTGTCTGATGAGCGCCACCGTTTTCGCCAGGCAGAAGCCTCCGACTCTTTTCCTGGTTTGTCATCCTTCCGAATCGACCTCGGGAAGCATGAGGCGAGACGAAGTTCCGCAGTATCCGGTGGCATCTTACGATACTGATGTTGTAGAATTCGCTAGCCGCGGTAATTATCTTCCAAGTCCTCTATGTCCAATAAAGAAGGGGCGGATATGCTGAAAGGTCAGGGCGCGACAGGGGTTTCGCAGTGTAGTACTCCGTACTCCGTATATAACCGCTAGTTGATTTATCTTCCCCATAACAACTCCGTCGTATTGCATAAACATTGAGTTTACATTCAGCCCCTTTTTGAACGAATGTCGAGTAGTTTAGTTCTAAACCTGAATTTGTTATGCTACGTGGCAACAGTCTGATGTCGCTTCGTGAATCAATATAGCGATACTAAGAAGCAATGTCGCGCTAGAATGATACTGTGACCCCAGGGTACTGAGGCCCCGGTGGGGATCTTGTTGTGGCGAAAGACTCTTAAAAGCCTTTCTTGACCAAGTGCAATGAAAAGCTCATGGTCAAGGGTACATTTTGCTAATAATGGGGATCACTTTGGGGTATCTTAAACGCAGCCAACCGACGTTTCCTTCGTATTTACATGCCCGTTCTTCTCCAACTCCCTGTTTTCTTCTCCGGTGCCTCCCCGTGATTGGGGAAAAAGATCGGCATTACCCAAAATAGCCGACAGGCCACGATGTCTTCCTCGCAATGCAACTGCAATTAGCAATACCTTGCTAAATGTGTGCCACGCACCACAGAACGAATAGGTTTGGCCGGGACACCCAAAACTCACACCGACGTAGCTGTATGCAGACACGGCTTCAAAAATGATCCTAAAGGTAGAAAAGGCCAAGGGATCGGCTTCGAAGTGATCCGATTCGGTAATGGTTATGAGAAGAATGGCGAGGGAGAGCCACCAAATATCGTGGCTGAATTGAGAGCGAAGTTGTTGGTAAACGAAACGGGCATGAGGAAGACCTGAGAGGCTCGAGCGACGGGATTCTTTCTGAGGTAGGTCTGTGGACTGTGTTTTTGCGATGTTGGTGCTGCTATATATGTCAGAATGGATTTGCAAGCAGTGATTGGGAGTTGCCATACCTGATAGTGGCTGAGACGGGGAAAGCAGAAATATACTACAAACCGGCATGCGTGCTTAGCTACTGATATTTGGAACAGAAGAATCAGTTCTCACCATCATGAAGACTAAAGTTCGCTTAGCAAATTGCCTATTCAATGCGGGAGTTCCATTTTTGGGGAAAGAAGCACGTACCGTATAGAATAAGCAACCCCTGCGGCAATCGATCAAATGCCACAACAGTGAATCCACCGCCACGCACAGCTTATCCTGCGTCAGCTCTAATCCGTGGTGAGTGGCCAGAATTAAATACCTAAAGCCTGGAAGAGCCCATCTCAGGACCCGGAACTTGACCGGAAGAGAGCCAATCTCCTCGTTATTGATCGCAGAAACCTCGAAAGCACCCCACATGATGGCATTGAGAATCACGACTGTGCCCAATAGAAACCAAGTATGCCAAGCAGGGTATAAATAAGCGCAGGCCTTTTGGGATTGTGTGAGGGTAAAATCGAAAGATCGTCGCCACAGCTGCCAAGTGGGTTTATTCGGCAACATCTTTCTCAAACCCCAGATGAGGAATCTTAATAAGCAAGGAAAAAGGGTGTTTCCAGCAAGGATAAGAATGCCGCAGGCAAGAAGTGGAAAGGGTCTGTGGATCGTGTCAACGAAATACCTTGACAAGTAACTTTCTGCGACAAATCACCCACTCCTTTTGATAAGCGCCCATATTAATATCAATGAGGGACATGCCGTTGTTGCAGAGCGCAGATGTAGCAAGGAAAGCTCCTGCCCAAAAAGGGGAGGCTCCATCCTCCCGTGGAATGTCTGGGCGGACGAACTTTGACCAGAGGCCGATGCTCACGATACCGAGAATGAGGAAGCCGATGAAATATAGTATGATAAGTACTGCCGTTAAGACAAGTGCTCTGTACTCTACCTCGTCTAGTTCTTTGCAGTTGGTCGATTCCCTGCAGGAGAGGGGTTTGCCTGCTCGTTGCACAATGCCCTTTAGCCAGGAACTCAGGCGTGGCATAAGTACCTTGCGATTTCCGACGTCCTTCTCGGTGACTTGCCGGCTTTGCTCGGGACGTTTCGGGTCTGTGACAACGATAAAGCCATAGTCGTCGGACGATCCTTCAGGCTCACAGGGAGACGAAACCTCTGGTCGAACTTCTCTCACTACAGTGGTGGCTTTTGCGTTGCCTATGGCTTTGGCAGAAACAACACCCTGTTTGTTACAGGCCATTTGGTTTTGTTTTCCCCTGTTTGATTTACGTCGCAGAGCAGATCGTAGCTTCCAGACACGAAATAGAGAGATGATTGCGAAGATGGGAAAAGCATGTCCGAGGATAAGAAGGCAAAACAAGGTGCCCTGCTGTAAAGGGTTTAGTGTAGACAGGTCCATCTTAGATAAAGTCAGCTATTATATCAGGATGCAAACTATCAGTAATGGAGGACGTACCACGCTCAGTCCAGTCCCTGTCATAGCGCTGAAACACATGAACAAGGCATCGGAATAGTGGAGACCATGGATATGCGACGAAGCCGTGTAGAATATGACACTGCCAATGGCAGGTGTAAGAATAAAGTAGGCATAGTGCAGTGTGAGTGGACTGAATGCCAAAAGATCAGCCATGATCGGCATACTAAGGTGCGAGCCGTAAACATTGTCTGAGTTTAGGGCTGGGATACGCCCAAACTATATAAAGGATTATCGGATTGTACGGCCCAGAAGCAGCCAAAAAATAATTCTGCTTGAGTTTTTTGGTGAAGAACTCGAATTCTCCTTTCATTACAAATGTAACGGTGTTAGTGTCTCGTCCTCGCCAGGTCGTTTGCTAATTTCGTCAGGGACTATTCATTTCTGCACTTCAGCCACAGGGCTTAGCAGCGGTTTCTAAGGTACGGCACGCTGCATTCTGCGGATGCAAGGATCACATTTGTGGAACTGGGCTATTTGGGACCTTTTTGAGTTCTGACAAAAGGAAATGGCCAGATCGTGGCCGTCATAAGATTGGAGACAACCAAACGAACGAACCAGATAGTTGTCGCATTATAGAAGGTTATCGGGGAATGTACAGCTATACATTCTACCAGGATATCATCCACTTGCGTGATCACGTGGCTGGTCAAGCTGAATCTAGGGTAAAATGTATTAATTATGAAAACTTATCCTGTTGAATATTGTATTGACACTTGAATGACTCGGTGGTCCAGTTCACCACTGCCACCATTGTCTTCTTGAACACATGTCATGACCTCAATGAGATATGTTGATATGTTCCCTTGTCAAATACCCCCAAGTCATTGTTAGCAGACCAGCACATTGTTGCACTAGGGGTAGCCAGCCTTGCTAGCTATACTTGGACTATGGAAGGACTTGGATCCAGGGCATAAAGCTCCGAGTAATGACGATGCCTGTTCATGCCAGGATGCCGAGGTACCGGCCCAAAGAACTGACCAAGTCGCTGAAGCTTTTCCAGTAGAGCTACAGACTAGCATTCTTCAATTCAGGAACTTTACACATATCCTGGAAGGTTGGGGCAAAATTACCGAATACTAGGGTGTTATCTCAGCATATTCGCTTGGCACATTCCGTAGATATATGATGGCAAATATGAAGCTCGCCATAATTGTGTTATAGAAGATTGAGGAAATGTACCCACATCTGCATAGGGCTGTTGAGCGCACCGCCCACACAAGATGCTCAGGTAGCTAGGGTTAGCACCACCAAGACGGGATAACCGTTTCCAAGGAGACAGGTTCAGCTGTGGCCGTAACCGAATCCATACTTGCAGTGCTCCTCTCCTTCGTGACGCGCTCTGGTGCCCTTTCTAGATCCGAACTAGCGCATGGCCTATTAGCCAATATATATCTAGGCGCGTAGACTGAACTCACTTGGAGATGGCACCATGCCTACCCTATAGTCTCATATACCCAGCCAGATGCAGAAGTTCTCAATATGTATAATTCTGATTGAAGGTACCAATATTCATACCATCACCTGTCTTCCCGTCGCCTCCAATTATAATTTTATTACCGGAGACCCTTCCTTCCAACATTCCTCGTGATATACAGTAGGTATTAGACCTATAATATCTTATTATACTACGCGGACTGTATAATCCTTAGTTAGCACTAGTGATCCCTAGTTCTATTTGAATACTATTTGTCATATTATTCTATCAAGGATCTATAATAGTTACTAGTAAGCAAAGCTCACCTGATAACCTGACGACCTGAGGGCCATTTTGCCAGGGCTACATTACGAGTGACTGAACACAACAACTAAAGGAATGTAGACATATAGCTTCAGCCCAAAAACACAGCATCAGCCTAAATAAATTCAGCTCGCATCTGTTTAAATACAAAGTGCAACAAGTGATATCGTTTCCTCAAACCTGGCTGCTCTCCTCAGCCCTCTCACCAAGCAACGCTGTCACCTGCACCGTTTTGCTTGCAGTAATAGTTTAGCTCGTCTCCTCCGATGTGGGATCCCTTGGACTCGCAATAGTATAGCAGGTCTTTCTCGTTCAGAAGCGTGCAATCGGGGCATGTATCCCATTGCTTGCCACCAGTGTTTCGGTTCTTATAGGCAGTGCATGCCTTTTCAGTGGCAGCTCTGTTGTAAACCTCCTAGAATGCAGTTAGAAATGCTTTCGCCCGGTGGTACCAGTTTCCAAGTTGTACTTACCACTCCGTCGCCAGGGGTATCAATGCAAACACCTTGAGTGTGGACGTCCGCAAAAGCACTACAAAGTATCAGTGCCTGTTATCAAACATGTCAGGTTGGAGAAGGTCTTACCCAACAGCAAGAGCTGCGACAATAAGTGAAATAGACTTCATGTTGGTGATAATATTATCAGAGGTGATTATCAAACTGGCTTTCGAAGATTGGGTGGTAGACGTAAATTTAAATGATGCTTGAAAAGTCAGAGAAGTACATTAAAAAGGACCTAGATAGTACTTCTGAATTGAGTTTGCCTGTCGGAACGTCAGGTCATCCAGGTCCCCTTTCTTGAAGTGAGACAACTAAGACAAAATCCCCAAACAATCTCCATTGGAACGATGATCTCTGTTGTTCATTTCCCGAATTGCATATATGGCGTTTCATTGTCACTCCTGTCAGCCTGCAAGGTCATTAGATGTGGGCTATGTCTCAGGATGATGTCGATTTTCGAGTAGATCTGCAAGAGTTTAGAGTTTAGGTAGATAATTAAGTTACGGGACATCACCACGTGTAAGCTGCATATCCATGGGTCGTTAGGTTACCTGGTACGATGATCGATCATTCCAATCTTCATTTCAAGTGAACGTATATGCGCAAGATGGATTTCAATTTTCATAATCATGTTGGCTTCATAAAGCTAGTCAACAGCGCTGCTACTTTTCCGTATGGAGCACGGAGTGCAGTTCGAAGGATGAACTGGATTTGGCCCCCAAGGCGTTTGTCTCACAACCACACGTTTATCAGAGGATCAACAGGATCAGCAATGCGCCCCATAGCCGTTACACTCCCCAGGTCTCAGTTGCCTTAGTTTTCTTCAGGACCAATGGATTTGACCAGTAGATTCACGCACAGAGGCCCATGATCTACATAAATCCTTCGGACCTCTCGGGCGAAGTTAAATTGATTAAAATGTCACAATGTCTCTCCACCTTGGGTTGACATCCTCACCGGTAGATTCCCGGCTATTTTTCGGAAGTATACGAGTGAAACAAGGCGGGTTATTGCGTGAGTATCCTGAGCATCTATGTTGTTCGGAGTATGGTTATCGCAGATCTATTGCGGGAATATGGCTCCGGATGATGGATTCGTCTAGTCTGACAAAGTACACAATTTCTTGTGGCAGTCGGGACACCCGTTGCCTTCTCTGAGCGACTCTAAATAGGGTCTCCTTTCCGTCGCCGATTTTGCGATATCACTTTTCTCAAGATCCATTCTTTTACCAACCCTCTTCTTGTTGGACATCATGAAGTTCAACCTTGTCTTCCTTGCCTCTCTCTGTGCCAACAGCGCACTCGTGTCTGCCTTGCCAACCGATACGACCGATGCGGCCATTCTTCTTCTAGACGATGGCACCACACAGACTATCAACAAGAGAGACCTAGCTACCCATCTGCCTGGAGTCTCTCTGACCCCGCCTACCGAGACTCTCCCGAAGTTCATCGAGACCGGATCCGATGATTCCACCCTCTCAAAACGTCTGAGCAAGCGCGCCGGCGCCCAGTTCATCATCCCTCTTCCTGACCAGAAGTTCCTCAACTGGGATATCCCAATGTCCACCATCGTGCATGCCAACGGAGCCGATGCCACCGCTGCTATGGCATCAGGCCAGATGGTCGCCAACAGCATCTCGGTTGCCCAGTCGTTTACCGCCACCGTGGAAAAGTTCCTACAACTCGGCACCACCGTAACCTACCAGTACACCGAAACGGCTACTCTCACCGGCACGGTTACCATGACTATCCCGAAGAACAAATGGGGTGCCATTGTTAGCAACCCCCTGGTCGAACGCAAGAGGGGTTACGTATTCAGTGGAACGCCCGGAAGTGGACAGTACGAATACTACCAGGCGGATTCTTACACCCATGATACTTACAAATACGGAGCAAACTCCTTGTCCTGGGTTAAGGGTGTTGTTACTACTTGCTTGGGAGACGCTTACCCTCTGAAGCGCTGCGTCGGAGAGGGTGTTTTGGAGTAAATCTTCAACTTTTGTGGCTTCGTTCGCATTTCCAGGTTGTGAATTGTGGATAATTGCCACAATTCCACTTCGCAATATGTTCTGTGGGGCGCAGTACGATGCTTTCATGGCAGAGGTCTTGATTTTCTGTTACTTTATGTTGTATATATCAATCGTCGATTCTCAACTGAAGTACTAGTTCGAATAAATGTCCATTTACTGGTAGATATAAAATTGAGACTAAAAGGGGCTTGCTCTCTGATTTCGAGAAGCTAGAGGTTGGATCGTGTGACCGGAGGGCGCATCAAAAACCCTCACTTTTCCTTTCCCTCTCTTTGCATTCAATACTCCTTAGATGATTGCTTCGTCATACTCCAGCGGTGCCTGAATGTAAGACCAGCCATCACCCGTGGACGGGTCCACGGGTGGACTCTACGCGATAAGTCAACGGCTTGACGGGCCCAGGGGTCCACCTGGAATTCCTTCAAGGCTCCAGGGCTACAATATACAACATAGGAAGGATCATTACTTGTACCCTAGGGCCGACCTCGGAAGTATCTTCCAAGGTGCATATGTAATCTCCACTTTCTCCACTCGACTCCCGAACCCCTGCAGTTGGTCTCACAACTGCAGTGCAGATCCCACACCCGTCCATTCCGATAGTCCATTGCCTGGAATAGGAATGATTTGCGATACTTACACCGACAGACTATCCGGCAATGCTTCCATGACCTCTGCCTACATGCAATTTCTGCAATATTTCCAGGATCTGCTGGAAGTACTTTTCCCACGTGTTTGGGGTACATGCAGTGCAAGTTAGGGGGGAATCTGCGTGAGATTGGAACTGGCCTTATCTATCTGAAACATCGTCAAGTAGTGGCGTAACTTCGGTGTTGGGGACTAACAAACCTTCCGAGCAGACTCACCCTGGGGTCTGTTTTATCATGTCTTAGTCCCTTTTAAGGGTCCTAGCTATCTTCAGCGGATAGGCCAAAGTGACGGTGATCTGCGTGCGTGCCATTGAACGCGAACCGCTATCGCACTTCCTCTTTTGTTACACGCAGGGGTGACCGGCAACGCAGCTTCACAGGCAACGGGGTCTCCCTTCGATAGTTTGGCGGAGGTGTATGGAGAGAACCTGTCCTTAGGAATGAGGGGTAAATATCGTCTTCACCTATCTTACAATCCAATCTGCCTTTTGCCAGCAAGCCTCCTGTCCAACCTGCCCTTCACACAACCCCCCGAAGCAATTTGATGAATATAGCAAGTACATCCTATTCGATGTGATATAGTTATCCCCCAATCGAGACCGACCGACCGACTACGGTATCCATCCATGGCAACTTCACCTACCACCACCACACAATACACCCCAGAACAATTCGTCGAAAGCTGTGGAGCTATCCTATTCGACCTATCCACCCAAAACAAGACCCTGTGTCTTATCCATTACCACGCGAAGAACGAATGGCTCCTCGCCAAGGGACGTCGCAACTGCAGCGAATCCCGACACGAGGCCGCACTACGCGAAGTCCGCGAAGAAACCGGCTATCAAGCCCAACTCCATCCCGTCGCGATGTACACTCGTGCGCCTCCGATAGGTGAACAGAGACATATGCCCGATAAACCGCGCTCTTACCCGGATCTCACCGAGCCCTTCATGGTAACCATGCGGCTCTTGGGTGATAGTGTTGACGACGTTAAGATTATTTGGTGGTATATTGCTGCCCTGGATGAAGGGGTTGTTGCTGGATCTGCTAGGGCAGAGGAGGAATATACTGCGAAATTCTTCCCCTTGGAGGACGCGGTAAAGAAACTCAGCTTCCAGAATGATCGGACTGTCCTTCAGAAGGCGATTTCATTAGTGGAAGACTGTTAAATCAGGTGATGGGAAGCATGCATTTATATGGCCAAATTTCGAAGTCGGTCACCTTACAAACTAGGCAAGGTAAGCGCCCATCTGGGATATTCCCGAGAACTTTACGGTTGGGCTTCATACGAAAGCTTTCGGCAGTCTGAATCTACAGGTGAGGACCAGTAATTGAGGGATTGTTATGTAGCAATCAGGGTAGTTTATTTCGAGTCTGTGAGCATTTCACCTCATCTCGTATCTTGGGTATATCTATATCGGTAATGCTCCAGCCAAGCAACATTCCTCAGCCCTCAGATCTCTCCGGAGAGTCTTTCTTTTGACGCCACATTCCACAGAGCAACAACAGGAATGGGATTGTCGCTAGCAAGATAAATGCCACCAGCGTAAATGTCCATCCCCGACCCATGGCAGTCAACATAGGATCGATGGCAGCTGAGGCCCCAGCCGAGAAGAACGACCGCACCAAGTTGTTAGCAGCGGTGGCAGCAGCCGGGTTAGAGGTGTGTAGATCAACCAGCAGGGTAGACGTGGAGATAAAACCGCCAGTCTGCCCAACGCCAACGAAGAACAGAAGCACCTCTGGAGCCGCAAGAGGCGCACCGTACTTTAAAACCCAGCCAAACGCCAGCACGGTGACACTGCCGAGAACAACAAGGGGGATGGTAATCATACTCCGGGCCTTCTCGACGGGGATTGAATCCTGGGATGTGTCTTGTTCGGGAGTTGTGGAATTGGCGGCTTTAATGGCAGCCATGCGTCGGTAGTTCCAGTCCAGAAGGCGCCCTGTCAGAACGGAGGCCACGATGGACCCTGTTCCCAATGAGATATAGCATAGACCAATCTCAAGCTCGTCCAGGCCGTACTGCGATGTGTAGATCTCTGTGATAGACGAGAGAACCGTCATGTTTCCACCCATGATGATTCCCGTTACCAAAAGAATGATGATCGAGTTTGGATGGAACACAAGTTTCAGGGGCTTCAGGGGATTGGGGAACTGGAGTTTGTGCTCAATGGTTTTCTTTGGCGAGTCGCTGCTGTCAGGTCGATCAAAGCTATCCTTGTCGGAAGGATCCTGCTTGTCGCCATGATGGCGAGAGAAAAGGTGAATCAAGGGCCGATTCCATGGCTGGGCAGGGATGACCCGTCACCAACGACGTTTCGGGCTGTCTCGGGAAGGAAGAGGAGGAGAGGCAATAGGAATACGCCGGAGGCGATGGTTAAGAACCAGAAGATCGATCGCCAACCCAGATATTGGGCTAAAAGACCTCCGATAATCGGACCAATGGCGGGACCCATGAAATTCCCAGCCATCACAAAGCCCATCATCGATCCTCGTTCCTGCTTCGTGCTGATATCAGCCACCGTAGCCGCGGATAGCGCCACGCTACTGCTGATCCCGGAACTCTGCAGACATCTCAATACAATCAGAGCGGCGTAGCTATTCTGCAAAGCCAGTCCAATATTTGACGCGATGTAAATAATAAAACAAATGATATAGGCTGGTCGACGACCTGTTCTGTCTGCAAAGTCGCCGATGAACATGGGCGCAATTCCTTGGAAGATCTATTATAGTTATCCCTATCTGTTAACATATGGGTTATGTTATTTGCGTCGAATGGGGCATCCTTACCATGTAACTTGTTACTGTCAGGTTGATCATGGATGCTGATACATTGAGGTCGTTGGCCAGTGTATTCAGAGCTGGGAAATAGATCTGGGCCGACAAGGAGGAAAACAGACCAGCCCCGGCAGCTGTAGCAACGATGTATCTTTTTTTGGCAGTGCTAAAGGTGCTGTACGGTGGAGGCAGAGCCTCTGCAAGCGTGGTTTCCGAATTCATTACTGTTCGAATGGTTGGAACATGTGTAGAAAAGTCGAAACAGACTGAAAAGGTTGCAACATTTGACAATTATGGGATTTTTCTCGTCCCCTTTTCCACTCGAATCGCCGTGAACAAGTCATCGTCGATCCAGGCAACACGAAAAAGGCCACAATGCACCGTGACGTAAATTAGGAGAAGGGTTCCACTGCGACAATCGGAGGAATTTGGATGATGTGATAGAAAGTCTCGAACAGAATGATCGACTGCTCAAAATTGATCCATCGAAGCACTAGTCGTTACTTAGTGGTAGTATTTTCGGCGACGCGTAACTTTCGGCAATAGTGAGGCGTGGCTTTCGGTTCGGGAGGCATCGGATTCATCGGGATCCCCCTACTTGGTGGATTTGATATTCGGGAAACCCCTGGGCTGAAGATCTGCAGGGTTGAGACAAGCTCACATGCCGCCGATGGGCTTTCCTGATTGGTCAGATTTTCTCCATAGAGCCACCTGGGTCCCCTTGGGACCCACGTGCTCAGAAGCTTGTTGGCCCGTTAAATTTGCCCAGTTGATTTCCTAAGATGATCACTTTTATCAGATCGTTCGAGAACTTCCAGCATTTCGGCCATTTTTATGCAATGAAATCAATTGTCCGCCTTGACGTGCATTAACATTAAACATTAAACTCAACAAGCAAGTCTGAAAGATGCCAGGAGTATTAGACTATGAAGAACAAGATCCTGCAGATAATGAAACCCTAAACGCACATCCCTGATCTTCAATCGTGATGTGCTCGCTTAGATTTCTAGACTCGAATTATGTGATGATCTGCAAACCTGAGATTTCATTGTGTAATGAATTCACCTTTGTGGCCAATTAACCCGCTGGTCTGAAGGCTTGTGTTGACTCAAACTAGACAAGATGCTCGTGAAGATCCACATTTGTCGATTCTATCAAGTTATATTCTATTTTTGCAGCGCGTGCAGCGGATGTTATAATCACACCATCGTATATCGTACTCCGTACAGTGTACATTGTACACATGGTCCTCGTTAAGCGCATAGGCCAGAACATTCACATGACGCAAGCTGAGTGTCCCCTTAGACGACCTCTGGGTGGCATGCAACGGATAGGACAGGAGCCGGGATGCAATAACATCCGATATAGGTCAATCCTGCCTTCTTGGGCGAGCCAGTACGTGCAGTACAAACATATACTTTGTGCAGATCCATTGATCACTTGAGCCGGCAATATTTAAAGGAACAAGTTCCCCCGAATCGACCAGACAATCAAACCAATTGAAAATTCCCGGATATACTCTTTAAAAGCCTTTCTTTCCTCCAAGCTCAGCACCAACAATACCCTCAGCACAGATCTCAGACCAACATCATGGCTGAAAACTTCGATTCCGTGCCAACAGTCACTATCATCGGTGCAGGGCCCTGTGGCTGTGCCTTTGCGGCTGACCTGGCCAACCGCGGAAAATCAGTCATGCTATACGCCCACCCCGATCATCGCGGCGGGACGGATATGATTGAGAAGAACGATGGCTGGTTGAATGCAGCTGGGGAGATCAGTGGAAAATTCCAGATCAAGACCACCAGCGACCTCTATATTGCCATTCGACACTCTCCTTTTATCGTGACCACCGTACCCTCATATGGCCAAGACACCATCTTGACATTGCTGAGTCAATTTGACCTACGAAACCATACCCTCATCATCAACGTGGGCAATTTCTTCTACCTCTCTGCCCGTTCGAAGATCAACGCCCATGCAATCCTCGAGACTGACATCTCCCCTTACGCCACCCGCATCCAGGGTGACACTGTCTTTGTCAAGGGGTGCAAGAAGACTCTGTCAATCTGGGCCGAGCCACCAAACACCACACAAGTGGAGCGACTTGACCCGCAGGCTGAGCTTGGCCTCCGACACAAGGTGGAGATGATCTTCTCTCAGAAGCTAGTGTGGTGCCAGAACCTGCTCGAGGTTGGGTTGAACAACGTCAACCCAGTCGTGCATTGCCCTGCGGCACTCATGAACGCAGGCTGGATCGAGGCCACCAAGGGCGATTTCTACTTCTACGCCCAGGGAATGTCGCCCGCTGTCTCTCGCGTGACTGAAAAGGTGGACAAGGAGCGTCTGGCAATTTCCCACGCCTATGGACTCGAGATCACACCCATCACGACGTACATGAACCAGAACTATAACAACGATAGGGAATACACCGACTACCACGACTTTGCCTCAGGCTCCGTAGTCCACAACAAGACCAAGAGCTCCCCAACCTCCCTGAATCATCGATACTTGTTGGAGGATGTTCTCTATGGCCTGGTCCCCTGGTATGAGCTCGGTGTGAAGTGTGGCTTGGCTTCGCCAACTATCAGAGCACTTATCGAGATGGCGGCGGTTGTTAGCGGCTTTGACTACTTTGAGCACGGGAGGACGTTGAAGTCTGCTGGACTTGGCGATGCCACTAAAGAGCAAGTGCTTCATGCCTTGGGTGGACCAGTGGACAAGACTCCTAGTTCCCATGCACCCTTGCCAGAATCCCCTATTGGCAACAAGATGGAGCTGCACGCTCCACTGCAGACCGCTCGAGTCGGGGCGTGATACCCCAACGTTGTTAGGAAATAATCTCTTTGCGTTCCAAGTTGTGTGCTTACTGGATTTTCCTTGTTTCTTTCTGTCTGCCTGGGTCAATTTTTCAATTATATGTGGCCAAAATGTTGGAGCACATCTGTGGACAAATTGGTCAAGCCTTATCTCCATTTTTGAAAATCCGCCAGCTTATTACAATATTGTTGTACTTATGTGTTAGATATCCCATCCCCCATAGATGCCTGATTTTACGGGCTTTGTTTGCTGGCAGACTGAGTGGTTGTTGTTCCAAGCCCTGGAGGTTACCTATAAAAAGGCTTGCTTTTGCTAGTTTGAATCAAGATTTCTTCCCCTCTCTCTCTCACCCTTGGTAGCAGCCTCCATTGTTATGTTATATCTAATGACCTTTCTTATATCTATTTGATCAGGTAGTTGTCTAGGAAAGTGGAGGCCAGCTCAAACGATAGGAGACGAGCTGCTGTTCTGCTACCAAATTGGCCCCATGTAGGCCAACTGCCACGTTTGGAAGCTGGTCCAATGCTGCCGTGCTGTAAGTACAAATCAGAAATCGTTTGGAATTATGCTAATGCGATATAGAATATGAGCGTATCTACAGCGTCGCCTTGCTAAATAGGCTGCTAATAAATAACTATAGCGTTCCATCCCGCCGCTACCCTCCCCCAACCTGATACTGCTGCCCCTTGTAATGATGGCACAACTTTGTCAGCAATGTCCGATCTAGCTTTGAGATAATTTTCCCCGACGGGTTGCTTGTCAAAATGTACTATGGGCTTTCCGACCGACGTGGCGGAGTTTGACGACCTGCGCATCTCGTTCACCAGACTGGACAACAGCTCCCTGCTTGAGACTAGTGGCGGTCGCGAGTTCCTGTTCAACAGGATTGCGACAAGTCTGAGATTACATTCAAGACCGTTGTTAAATGCACCGCCCGGGCAGCTATGTCCTCTCTCTATGAGATGCACGCTGGTCATGTCTACCGGAATCAAATCTTTTCCTAGGCCCTCGCTAGAACCACCCTGATCAAATTCACATATATCAGACCCTTGTCCTGATCTTTGGATGTAGATGGGATTTTCGGCAAATTCAGACAAAGTTACCCTCCTAAAAACCTCGAAGAAGGAGAAATTGTTGAGGCTATGAAACAACAGCTGCCTGGAAACCCCAAACTGCTCGATTTGGAAAGGAACGCTCAAGTCATAGTATGGGGAACTCTGTTCTGCCCGTTCACGGCCAGTTATTCAAAAATGGTATTTGAAGACACCTAAGTACTAACTGTAGTTCTATATTGTAAGGTCTACGGACAGTGTTCTTGCCTTCTTTCATAAGATACCGCAAGGATTTGGCGAGGCTCACTATCACTGGTGATATCAGGCAATAGGCTAGGGCTGTCCAGTGCTGTATGTCCCTCCGTAATACTCCATATCCTTCGCGGATGCGGCCCAATTGTACCAGTTCACCTCCTCGCCCATTCCCATGTGACTATCGGCTTGGCCTTCAGAGGTACTGGTGAAATCAGTCGCCATGCCCTCATCAGACCACAGCCAAGGTACAACGGCCGGGGTGGCGAGGTGACCGTCCGCGGCAGGATTTATGTGTCCAGATCCGATTCTCGTATTAGCCTCCATAACTGAACTGAAGTTTGTAGGTCCTATGTCTGGCAATCCATACCCAAACTGCGGTTCCTCTGCGGCAAGATACCGAGGCCCAACGGTGAAAGCTGAGGAGTGTGTTTGAGATAAATTGGGAGCAGGATGCACAATTGACTGCGCTGCAGTCGGTGGATTCGACGGAGTAGAGACCGAAAATCCGGGTGTGGGTGCTATATCTTTGTTTTTATCCCGTTGTGCCACTAGCTGGCGCCACTGGTCAAGGAAGAGATCTGCAGAATCTGAACCAGGTGGAAATGGCCCAGTGCTCGACGGCAGTGGGGCAGTGCGATAGCCCTGTTCCAGCTGTTCGGCAGCACGAGGGTCGTTTCTAAGCCGCCCAAATTCCATATCTCGATACTTCCTGGCCTTGGTCATCAGCTTTCGGAGTGGAATCCAGACGCGTAGATTCCTTTTCATGTGCGATTGGTTCGGGATTAGCCAGGGACTATGAAGGGCTACCCAGGCCCGTTCAGAAAGAGGCGACCACGGGCGTCGAGAGACCTCTAGCATAATATAGACAATGGAATACCAATGGGTATAGGTTTGGAAAGCCCAGCGCCAGTGCCTACATGCTTGCTCATTGTTCAAGGCATGATTGTACTCGGCAACCTCGATACTGGAAACCAACAGTCTTGTTCTCAGCTCCTCCGAGAAGTCTTCATTCGGGGAGGAGAACAATAGAGGCAGGTGGATAAGCAGAGTCATCTTAGCCATAAGAAGCCGAGCGACCGTAACTACCACCCAGTATATAATGTTCCCTGGGTCGGTTGAGTATTGAAGAAAATCTCGTTCAAGACCCTGGTGTATCTGTTTCAATAAGCGACTTTGCTCCTCTAGACTCGGTGCTGCTTCTTTGAACCCGTAAGCCATCATCTGCCGCGTGACCTCGCACATGCCGAAGGAGACGCGCGCAACGGACATATCAGTCAAGGCATCGTGGGCTTGAGGTGTTTGCTTTGACTCTGGGTCGAGGTCAGCGTCATTGAGGTTAAGAGGGATTTTAGTATCGAAGCTCGCTCTTGTGATTGTGTAATCAGTTCCTTGATCTTCGGATGCTCTCACATCCAACATGCACAGGGTCCACCAGACTCTTCGTCGCATTTCAATCTCATATGGACTCAGATGATTGAAATGTGTTCCATCACGATGTAGTCCCAGGGCTTGACCCATTCGGATTGCCAGTCCAGTCATCATCCACACAAAACTCGGACTGTCATGTCGGCGAGCAAGACTAAGAAATATGGCAAATGCCTGCACCAGAACAAAGTCCGGTGCGTTCAGAAAATCAGCTCTTGCAAGTGCATACTCGAGGCCTTGGCGATATTTGAGATTGAGGTCGGCTTTAGTTGCTCCGAAATTAAGCACTACCTAAATGTCCCGGGACGTGAGCCAGCGGCCCGCAAGAGTCGATTGCTCAAGAATTCGGCTTACATCTTCTTCTTCCATCGATGTGACGGCAGCGTAGTAAATGGATAACATCAAAGCCTCATTGGTCGGTGTGAGTCCCTTCATTTCACGGCCGCGCCAATCGCGAACCATGTTTTTGACAGTGGGAAGGTGAACAATTTGAAATACAATGTTCACGTTCTCGGAAAACACGTCTAGAAGGAACGGAATTTGTGAGGGGAGTGGATGGAGGTCGGTTAGGTTAGGAGAAAAAGGACTCAAGTTGTGCCCAAACAAGAATCCGTGACGTTCTGCCGGGGTCCGGTCAAGCTCATGTGTGGAAGAGGTCATCCCTAGCGAAGCCTCGTCATCCGAGGTATCGGATTCCTCTGATAGAAGACCATAAGCGTCTGCCCTCAGGCTATCAATCTACAATGAAAGTTAGCTCGCTGTACACGTAAGCAAACCAAGGCGGCGTACCTCGTCATTGACTCGAGACCAGAAGCCACTGCTAACGTACCGGCTTCGGTTGGAATCCTGAAGCACCAGTCTTCCAAACTTGTTTTGCACATTAGCAGTACTAATGGAAGATGCGTTCGACTGTCGATCATGCGCGGAGCTTCCAGGCGAGCCGACCCCGGATGACCCTTCAGCGGCAGAGTTAGTTGCTAATTTGGCCTGTTCTAGCTGAACGCGTAGCTCTTGGACAAGGCTTTCGAGGTTGTGAAGTCTCTCCATCACGTCTTCTGCTATTGGTTCAGCTTCCTGGGAGGCGTGTAGGTTGGATACCGCGCTGTTGAGGCGGTCGAGACGGCGAGCCCATCTTGGTGGACGGTCTGTTGGCGGAAGCACACACGCGATATTTGCACGGCGGCAATTAGAGCAAGGCGCTCGCTTGTCGCAGCGGACTTTTCGACTTCGGCATACAACACAGCTGCGCGGCTTCAGTGATGTTGTGTTTCTGCCTGAGGCATCAGGTCTCGCGTTTTTCTCGGCATTAAGAGGCTCTTCGGGCATCTTGGGTCCGTTATTGGCTTATTTCGGCAAGTGATCAATCATAAATGAGTCGAACAAACCTTGGATATTCCAGTCCTATTAGGGAAATGGTAAGGCCTGGAAGTCTGACTCATTAGCGTAGGCTGGAGAACCAACGAGAGAAGGAGATTTCCGCCTCGACTTTTTAGCCTCGTACCCCCTCACGCGAGAAAAGACCGAGGCCTGTTGCGTTGGGGGGTTCGGATACTTTTTGCTTTCTCGATAACGCTTTGCCAAAATGTATATTATGAAGCCCATCGTCCGATCCAAGACACTTGAAAGGAAGGCATCCACCTCACTTTAGACGATGACTCCAAACACCAAGTCCGTTGCATTCTTTGGAGCCAGCACCGGCGTTGGCCTCGCTACCCTCAAACACACACTCGCTGCCGGACACAAATGCATCGCGCTGTGCCGTGATCCCTCAAAACTCACTGGCGTCTTCCCTTCAGGGTCAACACCAAATCTGAAAGTTATCAAAGGCAATGCACACGATATCTCCGCCGTATCGCAGTGTATCCAAACCGACGATGGCCGCATCGTCGATGTTATCGTGTCCACCATCGGCGCCAGGCCACGCGGAATGACTGTCGACGATCCGGACGTCTGCAAGAAAGGCGCGGCAACTCTCCTAGATTCTCTAGCCCAGCTTCGAAGCACTGGTATTACCGGAACTCCGCACATAATCGGTTGTAGTACAACGGGCTTCTCCCGCTTCGGTCGCGATGTTCCTATCGCTATGGTGCCCATCTATTACTTGTTTGTCAGTGTCCCCGGGCAGACAAGGTAGTCATGGAAGACAGTTTCGCACAGAGCGGGGAAGCATTCACAATAATTCGTGCGAGCCATCTTGTTGATGGCGAGTCGAACAAGGCTATCCGTGTGGGCATCGAGGATCCCAAGACTGGCCCGGAGTCTAGGGCTATTGGCTATACTATCTCTAGGGAGGATGCAGGGAGGTGGCTCGCTGAGAACCTTGTCTTGAAGATGGACGCGAAATTTTTGAATAAGAATGTGACTGTTACATACTGATGCGAACGATGCGAATGATGCCGGACTCCGATGAAGTAGCCGGGGGGGCTTCTCTTGCCGGGATTGGGAGATCTGCAGCTTTCCTCGGACATATACGGAGTACAATGCTTCGCACAATGCCCATAATACATAGCGTGAAATAGGTAATACACATCTCTTTCCAAGGTTCTATATAGATAGTCGTGACACTATGTATTCCTCTACGCAGTGTAACAGGTACATGTACAACATAGTTGTTGAATCAGCTGACCAACTCAATAACCCAATCTATACGTAAGAAAAAGGGAGCTGAGCTGGGCACCGAAATAAGGACCCATTTGTCAAATGATAGGCCGAGGGTTCTTCCTTCTCTGGAATAGCACAAAGTACTCAGTGACGACCCCGTTTGCCCAATCTTTGCCCAGCAACTTACAAAGGATTATCAAATCAAGCTATTTGAATAGTTTCGAACTGGTTCCAAGCACGTACCTGTTAGAATATGAAGCGCGAACTCTGCTGACCATCTAGTTCTTTCTGTTTGCTCGATAACACCGGCTCTGCCTCTACTTCACACCCTTCGCGAAAAACGCCTTCAATAATACATTCGGATCGAGAGGGGGCCTTTCGTATTTATCAAGTTAATTTATCTGAATATACTCTAGGCTGGCTGGGGATGTTATAATATAATCGAAAAGGGGTAGCCTCCCGAGGTCTGCTACTACTACTTCTGGGCAATTGGCGAGAATCAACTACAACTTTCACATATAACATATTAGTATATATCAATATATAGATTGATTGTCTTCTGTGGGAATCGAAAGCAAGTTATTCGGTAGCATATTACGATCTTGTAGTGGGTTTCAAGGTGCTTAGGCTGTTGGTAGGCGTAATTTATGTGATACTTCATCACTCTTGTCTATCCCTTCTCCTACCTACATGATGGGGATAAAATAATGCCTGCAATCTGGCTTTGAGTCTTGCGTAAGAAAATTTGAAGGCGTCTTGTGTGTTTCTGCTGATAATATCGACTATACTTCTAGGTACCAGTGATACTTCCCGGGTCCCGATGTTCCTCCTATTGCTTCATCGTCGCCTCCTCGGAATTCATGCACTCGGGTTAGCCTGCGCCCATGACCCCCATTGTCGGAGAGAATTGGGGATGCACTCTCCAAAGAGGTTGCTGTAACTTCCACCCATGCAACCATCCAGGCCAGCGATTGGAGCACGGAGCTTCCATTGGGACTACATACGGAAGGGTGTCGGTTCCAACCAGTGTGTAAGAGCCCAATAGGTCCAGGACCCTCTTGATATCTCTTCCCGGACTTCACGCAAACTATCCCATCGTAAGAAGTCATCGAAGTCGCGGCTATTACGGCCGGGAAAGCCGCAGAAAACCCAATCATGCAATATTTCGTCACCGTAATCAGCTCGTCGTTATCTTTGATCTTGGAATAGACGAAGTGCAGTAGCTCGAGGCCGCGGCATATCGGTGTCGTGAGTGACCCATCACTGTTGTCTTCTGATAGGGGGCTAAAATTAGTATTTTTTCAAACCGAAATGTCTCCAATTTTCAGAATCGAAGGATTCCCACTCACTGTGGGTATTACCATCATTTCTCCAGGGTCGTCGATCAAATCCGGGGCTCCTTTTACGCAAATCCCGGGTAATATTGTGGTCAATCTGCCGGCACTTCTTTTCAGAGAAGTAACTGAGACAGGATACATCGTAGCGTTGAAAGTGATATAAGAAGTACTTGAGAATGCGAGCAGGAGTGGCGATCCTGATATTAAGAGCGACAGAATCGAGCGATTCGAAGCCATAGACATTGCAACAGAATTGGAATCGATAAAAAGCCCCCATCAGTTGTGTATCGTTTGTCCTGCTCAAAGACTCTTCAATTCGGCGAATCCGTGAGATGTATCCTGTCCCGCTCGAGGTCTCTCCAATCTGGAATCCTTTCGTCTCAGTGAGATTACTCGATGCTCTTGTCACAAAGCATTGCATCAAGGGTTGAACATCGAGCAGTGGAATTTGACCATAGACGTGACATCTTCCATGCTGAGCAATTTGTAGAGAGGGCAGGGTTAAGTAAAAGTTGACCCAATATTGTGTTGTAGGAATGGAGGAAATCTGCAGCTGCTTCCGGACTATGTGGCGGAGCCAATTTTGAGGAGCTGAACATCTGAACAACATAGGCATCAGCAAGTGCATTACCCAATGTCAACTCCAGGCTTTGACAGAGTATGTGCTTTCGATCTAGTCGGTATTGATGGAAGTAGATAGGAGAGGCCTGCACGAGGGCCTTGAGACTGTCGATTGCCACCCTCAAAAGAATGTGACGTCGGAGCTCAGCTGGTAGGGTTTCCAACGAAGGAACCTGAGAGGCGTTCGAAGCCCGCTCTGTCTCAGCCACTTGAGGCAGGTTAGCGTTTCCATTTGGAGAGACGGCACGTCTCGCTTTGAGAAACAGTTTCTTCAAGTTCTTCCTGAGTTTTCTGAAAGGCATGGTCGTGGACTTAAAGTGGATGCGTGAGAGAGGCAGTGGCTGTTGTAGGCGCAAACAATAGAAAGAGTCACGTTGGCGTAGAAGAGTCTTCTTACTCCATCTCAAGTTCTAGTTACGTTCGACGTCAACGTCGAAGGTTGTTGGAGGCTACAAGCTTCCCACGCACTGGTAGAGAAAGAAGGAAGAAAGTTTTATCATTCAATCCAGCAAAAGTAGGCCTTTTATAGGCCGCATGTAGCAAACAAGCGCTCAGTCTGCCAGCAAAAACAGGCTTCTACGGAAGATGAGACCATCTCAACAAAGACGTCCAAAAGTGACATACAAATCTCGCTCTAAGTTCCTAGCCACCTCAGCTATACCGAATGACTATTTGGACTGGAATGTGCCCGATGCGCCGTCGAGTAAGTGAGCATTGCTATTATGACTTGTCATATAAGATCAATGTGCGGCGCAACCTACATTCAAGGTCAATTGCTTAGAGCAGTGGCCCATGAGGACTTCCATGTCAGTAGATACGAGGTGTATACGTATACATGGACTTTTTAGGTGGCACGGTATACCTTTCTTGGTCTTAAAGAGGTATAATCTAGGTACAGTTAGGAAAGGTAAGCATGTTCAGGATAATGTATTCTATTATTTATATTCCAGAGCCAGCCAGTGCGCTCTTGGCATAGTCTATATGCAGTGTATATACAGTGTGCGTGACGTCAATAAGATGAAGCAATAAAAAGCAGTATAAATCGCGATGAAGCAAGATGGAGTCATCTAAGTATCAGTGTTGGCGCAGGTGAAGCTGTTACTGTTGGCGTTCTTGCTGATAGACGTGCCAGAAGCATACAAGCCAAGAACGCACAGCGCCAAACCGAAGCAGGCAATGCCGATGTTGAGGATGGTGAGGAAAATCTTGCGGGGAGAGGCGAACCACTCGCCGCGGTTGAGGTGGAGCCAGTAGATACCGGAGAGACCGTAGCTGAACCAGGAAGCGAAAAGAGCACTGATCAAACTGTTCAGGTCGCTGAAGACAGGAATAGCCTCCGAGATAATCCACGCAACAACCCAGCAAGCCACACCAAGACCAATCCAAAGACCGACGGAACGCTTGTTGCGCTGGTGCATCAGATCCGATTTGGCACAGAGGCGGAAGTAGATGTACTTCAAGCCGATATGGCCGTTGACAACACCGGCACCAACAATGGTGGGGATAGCAACACCGTAGGCGATCTTGCTCATCAGGGGTCCTGCAGAGGTGAGGGCAGGGGAATGCACATCCGTGCCAATGTAGAAGTAAATTACAACGGCGGCGGACAGGTAGAGGGCGATCTCAAAGCCCTGGAGCATGAACAAGGACTTCTTGAAATCCTGGGGCGTCTCCATCTCGGCAATCAAACCGAAGAAAGCGACGTGGGCGCAGTAAGCGAAAACAATGTTTGAGACAGACTGGAAAGCGGTGTACAGGTTGGTCTCGACTGTGGCTTGGATGACACGTTCGGGGTGACTTTGGACTCCCACCGAAACCATGGTGATGACAACAGCGCTCAAGATGCTGAGGAATGATGCAAACGAAATCCAAGTCATGCCCTTCATTGTACGGGGGATGGACAGGAGGAGCGAGATAACCATACCGACGACACTGAACACAATGGAGCAGGCGCCATGGTTGGTGAGGGTGTTCATCATGACGCGGAAGGTCAGGATGTGGCTGCCCATGACGAAAATACAGAAGAGGAACTGTCCAGTACCGAACAGCTCACGGCCGAACTTGCCTGGCAAGATCTCGCCGGCATCACCCAGGTTTTGAATATGAGGGTACCGTTCGCGGAAGAGGCCAATATTGTAGCCAGTGTATGTTGCGAGAATTCCGAGGCCGACAATCAGGATGACACCAGGGACAAGGCCCAGGGTAGCGACGGCTGCAGGCAGCGACAACACACCCAGTGAAACTGACTCACAGATCATGAGCAAGCCACATTGCCTGAAGACACCACTCGTTAGCACGGTTGATAAAGACTCTGTTCCCAACGATAGACGATACATACCACCACTTCAAGGTTTTATACTTGATCTCAGCGTACTCCTCGTTGCCGAAAGCATCGTGGACCTCACCAGACTTGAGCTGGCCCTCCTCGTCCAATGGCAGATCCTTCCGCTCAGCGATCTTATCCTGCTCATAAGCAGGTGGTGCTGTATTTACCTCCATGTCTTGTTGATGAAAAGCAGAGGAGAGTAGAAACCCACGAGGAAGGAACGGGGGATCAGGCCATCTTATTCCACTCTCGTGCCTTCCCTAAGTGGAACTTTTTAAGAAATTTGCCCCATGGGAGTAAATGGAAGGTTCCACAGAAATTCGATGCAACCCCGGCGGATTCACCAATGACTGTGCCGGGTTAGGCTTGCTGACTCATTCTAATTGGTGATGGAAATTGGTTGCAAAAGCTAATTCTTAACCCCAAGTCCCACCCGTGGACCTCTAGGTACGACTCCGTACATTAGCGCACATTCCAAGGTTGCCTGATTGACACATACACTTTATTATTTGTTGGAGAACGATATATACCTAGGTATGTACTCACATATGTAGATATGTTATTGAGAGGCTGTAAGTTGTGGCTTTCATTCTTATATCGATTAGCCTTTTTTCTCGGGCCTAGTTTTCTTCAGCCGGACTCGGCGCTGATTCCGATTTTTTAAAGAATTTTGCCTTCTCACCGAGTCACCGAGTGGCGACTCAAAACGCCCCACCCGACCTCCGGAGGAGAGAGCCAACTCCGGTGTTGGCCCACCATCCTACATACCCGTACATAACTTACCCCGGAAAAAATCGACTGCCGTTACTGCCATATCAACCTCTACATCTATTCCAATTCGCTTGTTTATCCCCCAGATTATTGGCTGCCGAATTGATACCCATTGTTGTAGAAATTGATTAACTGGGCCTCGTGGGAACATATAAATTGTGTGTTAGACCAGGATATTGACATTTGTTCCATCTTGGCATGGCCTATCATCTCTTCGACTTGTTCAGTTGGGGTATCAAGTAAACACCGACAAGGATGCTTTCAGCCTCGGAGCAGACCTTGGGGAACTTTGGACTACCCCAACCTCATCGTGCATAATCTGAAACGAGAATTCACGGAGAACGATGCGGAGAAATCGGCAAGGAGAGTCCGGAGAAAGTCTAGCAGGCGCAGCGAACACGAGGCCACAGCACTGACCTCGAGATTCATTGATCACCCGAGACCGGCCCACGAGGCACTGGGGGCTGTGAAAGCTTAGTCATACGATGCATTTGGCAGGTGTGTACCTGCCGTTCTTGTACTAGTGTAGTGAGGAACGTTCGTTGGCCCAATTTGGATTAGCGTATACTTTTGTCAGCAACCCCATCGCAACCTTAGTTAACGGGCATGAACGCAACGGGTCTAGCCAAGCTATTCGTGGATTTTGGACTGTAATATCGATACAAGAAAGGGCTCACTCTATACCACCCCGGCGACTCTATGCATCGCTATATGGCATGTCTCCACAGCCGCCATCCATCAACCCTTTAACGTGGCAGCCGTCACCACAGCCTCTATCAGACATGGAGGGCATGCTGGATGCAAATGAGCCAACCGGGTTCATGCAAGAAGACCCTTATCTTGATACAAATACTGACTACGAATTCCAACCATTTCTCTCCGACATTGGTGATCCGGAATGGTCGCAGTGGACAAATTATGAGTCACACCTCGTATCAGCCGCCGATACACAACCCGGGCATCTAGAGCATGAAGAACTAGAGACTTCAGAAATTGTATACGATTCTGCTCCAGCTTTTGCAGAAGAAAAAGTTGACCCATCCTTGTCGCAACCAAGCCTTACCAATGTCTCACAGTGGCCTGATGGGGCATATCGTCCTCCTGTGTCATGCGACCATTGTCGTAGGCATCGACTGCAATGCCTGATACTTCGCACCACGCCTGCCAATCCAAATCCCAGAAATGCCTGCTCAAGCTGCGTAGCCCTTTTTAGAGAATGCAGCTTAGCAAAGGGAGAGAAACGCCTCCCGTCGGGCTTTGAAACTTTCTCTCCGGTGTTGGGTCATCTCCACGGTGTGCCAGAAGATGGAAACCCGTTGCCCCGTACCACTCTAGACAATGGTGATGAACGAAAAGAACCCAAACAGTTTCTCAGAAAAGGAGCTAGAGTTCTCCGTGAGTGGTTCTATCAAAATCAAGAATATCCTTATCCAACAGATGCACAAAAGAATCAGATGGCCCATGAGACTGGTTTTTCCCAAAAGCGCATATCAACCTGGTTTGCAAACGCCCGCCGCCGCCAGAAACAAAAGATCCAGTCTGCGGGACTTTCTTCGACATCCCGTACCCGCTCGGGCTCCCCCATGGTCAGCAGTACGCTGTCTTCCCTAACTCCTATGGAGCGATGGCAGGCTTCCCCGCCAGAAGATGAACATGTTCCAGAAGCGGCAATTCAAAATGCCATTGCCTCCGGCTCGATAGAGTCGGACGACAGCATTAACCCGTTCCAGCTCGATGGGTCTGCAATGGATTTCTTCAATTTCGACGAGAGCTCGTCACATTTGGCGTCCTCGGTATCGAGCATTGGCAGCAAGGCATCTGAAACATCTGATAGTGCCTCTTCAGCATGGAGCTATCATTCCACAGTAGACACGGGCTGCCATTCCCACTACTCCCCAAACGAATCAAACCCAAACGCATTCGAGGACGGCAACGAGCAGTCGTAGACTATCATTACCAGTGCACGTTCTGTACGCAGTCTTTCAAGAAGAAACACGACTGGGCCCGACACGAGAAAAGTGTCCATCTCACTCTTGACTCCTGGGTCTGCACGCCAAATCTTAACGATGTCCAACAAGCATTCGAACTCCAGTTTTTTGAATGCCCTTTCTGCGACGTCCTCTTCCCAACTGCCGCCCATTGGGAAGAGCATGAATTCCAAGTTTGTGCCGATAAGCCTGCTCAAGAGCGAACATTCAGTCGAAAGGATTATCTATGGCAGCATCTGCGCAAGTTCCACAGTTGCACGAAAGTCCCCGTGGCTGACCTCGGAGCCTGGCGCGGAACGGGCGTGAACGTCGAAAGCCGATGTGGATTCTGTGGATGTTCACTGTCTACCTGGCCAGCTCGGGCAGAGCATCTGGCCGGTCATTTCAAGAAAGGGTCTCGTATGGATCAATGGGAAGGTGATTGGGGTCTGGATGCATCTGCGTTGAGTGTTTTACGCAATGCGGTCCCACCATCTCAGCGAGCTATCGCAAACATGTCTATTTAGCGTCGATCAAAAGTTGTATACGAATAATGAAATAATAATCACATAATATATGCCATTGAAATGCTCATACCGCGCTGATCGTTAACGAAGCTACATACTCAAGCTACTCTAGTATGCCGTAGTCCGCCATTCGCGATTGTACCAAGTCCCCATGCCCAACATAAACAGCAGAAGGCTACCATCCCTCACGACATCTTTGAACAGCTGCACTGCCATTCCCATACCACCCGACTGCCCACCAAGCAACACCTTACCGCCAGTCAACAGCAACTCTCCCGTCATAAAGATCGCAAAGGGGTTCTGTGCCGTCGCAGGCTTGGGCGGGGGACTACCGAACAACGCAACCGAAGTCCCAATAATGAACAGCAGGTAAACAGCAACCGCCAAAGCAAAGACGGTGTGCAGCGTCTTCCAAATCCGAGCGCGCTTCTGCTCCGCCTCTGTCGGCGGCGTCCTTCCACCCAGCATATTGGCGATGAAAGGCGGCACGCCGAGCATTGATGCGATAGCAGCGGGTGAGAACCCGGGCGTGGCTTGATTGCCAGGTGCGCCTGCCGGGGCATTGGGGTCACCGCCGGGCATAGCACCCATGAGAGAGTTAAGGAGTTTGATGGTGGGGTCTTCGGCGTCGTCGGGCGGCTGGCCCTGTCCTTGGTCCTGTGCGGATTGTCTCAACATTGCGCGGAATGCTTCTTGCTGTGCCTGGATGTCATTTGGCGCTTGCGGGTCGGGATGCAGGCCCTGGCCTTGTTCCGGTGCGGATTGTCGGAGCATCGAGAAGAACGCTTCCTGCTGGGCGCGGATCGCTTCTGGTGACTGCATGTCTGGTTGAGGCGAGGGTGAGGGTCGGAACTGGGGATTTTGCGGCGCTGGAGAGGGAGACGCGGACATTGCGCGCTGGGCCTGAGGGGATGGAGAGACTTCGCGGTCTGTTGTAGTTGACTTTAGTTAGCATTGTTTGTACTGGCATGGCTGATGAGATGGCATGTCTGCTTTGCTATCGGGAGCTCCTTGACTAGAGCTGGGGATGCGGTTTTCGGTTCTTACCAGCTTGCGGCGTGCGTCCACTGAGACTGGTGATTTTGTCCAGGCGTGCTGAGCCTCCTTCCTTGATCTTTGCCTCGCGGCGCTCGCGGCGCAGACGGGCGGATCGCTGTGCTGGTGATTCGTCTGCCATCGTTTCGGGTTCTTCAAGAACAGATCACAATTGCTGGGAATTGGAAGACGACGAGATGGGTGTGCTAGATATTAGCGATAATAGGTGGGATGCCGTTCGGCGAAGGTGGCCTGGATGTGGCCGATCAGCCCCGGCTGTTTAGTCCTGTGGCGATAAGAACACCAGCCACAACACTTCCTCTACAAGCTTGGAAGAATCAACAACCACACCTGGCTGTTTTCATTAAAATTATTCACTTATCAAATGATGCACTTTCTCAAGCTGTCTTCGGCTGCATGACTTTGACAATCACTTTATCGGGGTATCAGCTTAATGACTACACAACATCAAGCATGCACAAGGAATTTTGCTCCGAGCTATACTTATTTACAGGCATCTATATTCAATAACAAAAGTCCTGCACAAGTCGAGTAAACACCTTCTCAAACTGTTGAAGACTCTCAACTTCAACCCATTCCTCCTTCGCATGGAGGCCCTCTCCTGCTGGGCCATACACAATGGACGGGATACCAACAGCGCCGAGCAAGGCCGCATCAGTCCAGAACGGACCAGCCTTAACAGCAGGCTTGCTGCCCAGCACAGCAGTTGTACAAGCAGTCGCTTTCTCCACGAACGGATGATCAGCAGCCACCTTCTGTGTAGGGCGCGACATGGTAATGCGCGGCTCAGAGTACTTGAACCCAGGCTTCTGATCGGCGATTTGTTTCAGCAGTGCGCCGATGTCTCCTAGGATGGACTGTTCCGTTTGGGCTGGGACAGTGCGGAATTCGACAGTGATAGTGCACTTTCCCGGATAGGATGAAGGCTCTTCACCACCCCGAATCAAGCCACAGTGTAGCGAACCCTGACCCAAGAGATCGTCTACTGGAAGCTGTGATTGGTACTTCCCCAAAGCCTGCAAAAAGGATCCGGCATACAGGATAGCATCTTCTCCTGATGCAGGGTCGGATCCATGCGCAGCAACTCCTAGGATATCGACTTCCACCCACACGAATCCCTTGTGGGCAGTAAGGATCGCGCCTTGGGTTGGCTCGGGAAGTACAGCGGCATCAGCACGCCAGCCAGCCTCAATAATATCCTGAGTTCCCTGCGAAGCATCCTCTTCGTCTGATACCGCAGCCACAATGACATCACCCCGAGGTACGAAGCCGCTAGCTTTGGTTGCTGCAAGGGCAGCTAATCCTGCAGCCAAACCCCCCTTCATGTCGAGGCAGCCGCGGCCAAAGACGACCTCTTTGCCATTTTTGGTCCCAATACTTCCGGACAGGGGATCTGCCTCGTAGCTGGAGAGACTAACTGTGTCTGTGTGGCCGTTGAACATGAGAGACTTGCCACCTCCGCTGCCTCGCAAGACTCCCACAATGGATGGTCGTCCAGCGACCTTCTCAATCCAGTGATACTCAATGTCTCGATGGGTGAACCAGGCGGCCAGGTAGTTTGCGATTTCGGTCTCACCCACGCCGTCTGTTACAGACAAGGTTGGGTTGGAAGAGTTGATTTGAGTGAGAGTTCGGGTTAAGCCCACGACATCGTCAACGGAGACGTCTTTGGGGACTGGATACTCGCGCGCACCTTCAGTGCTTAGAAGAATGACCACAGAATCCTTGTTGAGAAGTGAGCTAGCCTCTTTCGATGTAGCCAGTCGTCGCAGCGCAGCCAACGATGCACCTCCACATGGGCCAGCAGCCACAGACTTGGAAGTCAGGTATTGCACAGCACAATGGCTCTCATATGATGAGACGGTGAGGCAGGCATCAACCAAACGCTGCAGATCGGGCCAGGCAGTAGAAGATACTGTCCCACAATCCATACCATCCATAATCGTGGAAGAAGTTCGGACAGTAACCGTCTTTCCAGCAGTCAAGCTAGAAAATAAACATGCAGCCGTGTCAGGCTCAACGGCGACCACAGACATGGGCGTGCTCTGTGACTTGCAATGCTTCGCGACCGCATGCGCTAGGCTGCCCACCCCAGCAGGGGTGATCATCATACTACCCGACAGACCAAGCCGAGAAAGTTCATTCTGGACTTCGTGCATCATAGTAGAATATCCCTCGACGATCCACGAAGGGACATCTTCATACCCCTCAAACGCCGTATCCTGAATGAGAAGTACACCCTGTCCCACACGCGTCTCATCCACGGCCTTCTGCACCGCCTGATCATAGTCGCCCTGGACAACAATCAACTGAGCCCCCTCCCCGGCGATAAGATCCCGAGTCCACTGGTTCAGAGACCGAGGAACGAAGATCCGCGCCTCGATGCCGAGAAGTCGAGCCATGAACGCAACTGCCCGTCCATGGTTCCCCATCGAGGCTGTCGTCAGGACAATCGATGCTTCTTTTGCTCGGTTTGAGAGTTCATCGAGCAAGACCGTAGAGGGCAGGCCGAGTTGCGCTGCAATGGCTCGGAAACATCCCCATGACGCGCCCAAAACTTTGAACGAGGGTAGGCCGAACCGGCTGCTCTCATCTTTCACGAGAACGGTGCCAACACCTAGCTCGGCTGCGAGCTCTGGGAGTTGGACTAGTGGAGTTGGGGCATAGTTGGGGAAGGATTGGTGGAATGCCGTTAAGCCTTCGATTTGCGGGGAGGCACTGCTCGCATTTGTGGCCGCGGGGTTGAAGTAGATTGACCGTCGTGATGACATGTTGGTATACGTTCGCATATGCTTAATTGATCTGTGCACATTGCAGAGACTTTATTTATTGCCGTGTCATTGCCTGTACCGTGAGCCTTCTAAAGACAATCGCGCCTTCTGACGACACGTCGGGTTGAGTGATGTCGGGTTGAGTGGGCACTGCGCCTTCTCACGACACTGACGCCTTCAACTTTTTTCTTTTTGATTTTTGATTTTTGATTTTTTTTTGGTGGAAATTTAATGGAAATTTTCAAGGGGCTACATTCTCTTTGTTCCATTGGGCAGGATTCTCTATATCGGAATCTGCACTAGCGCTTGTACACAGTTTGGTATAAATGTACGACGGAATATCTTGGGGTTTTCAATCTCAGTATACTTGCTTTTGTCTACATAATGATGGCAGGCTTCCCATATAACATGATTTACTTAATTCTGCTTAACGCCAATACAAATGAAAATATTGATTACTTTTGCCCTTCAGCCTCTACCCTGAATTCATCGTAGTGAACAACAGCTTCGAGAAGAGCTTGCGTACCCATAGCGCTGCGATTGTCAGATTTCGAAAAACTCCATGGGAAAAAGAAGACTTACCAATCCTGTGGACTGCAATATTCTGTCGGGTGGTGGCTCACACCATCCCGGCAGGGAACAAAGATCATCGCAGAGGGACAGTGCTTGCTAGTATAAACAGTATCGTGACCAGCGCCACTGGTCATGAGCATCGATTTCTCACGACCGACCAGGTGATCCGCCGCAGCCTGAATAGACGCCACGCAGTTATCGTCGAACTTGACAGCCGGCGAGTCCGTATCCAATGTCCAGTCAAAGGACACACCCTTGCCATCTTGCAATGCAATAGCCTCAAATGCCTTGAGGCATTCGTCCTGCACGGCGTGTACCACACTATCCTGCGGGTGTCGGATATCAAGAGTGAAAGTCACCTGGGATGAGACGGTGTTCGTAGACGCGTTTGATGGAACCCGGATAATACCAGTCGAGGCTAGCGCATCGTGTCGCTTAGCAATATCATGCGAAGCGGCAATCATCCTAGATGATGCAAGCAATGGATCCTGGCGAGCACTGAAAGGTGTTGTTCCGGTGTGGGCATCTTTCCCGTGAACGGTCATAGTCAACCATCTATATCCCTGGGCACCCGAACAACACCAATTGACTTGTTGTTCTCGGGAGAATCGGACCCTGTTCAATGTGCAGCTCGAAGTGAGCTCCTAGGGGGTATCCAGTTGCTGGATCGCTGGAACAAGCAATATCGCCCAAATATCTGTGTCTTTCAAGCTCGGAGCGTAGAGTCACACTGGGATCGTGAATATCACGCAGGTCCCAAGCTTGTTGAATTGGGATGGCACCAGCCCAGACACCCGAGGAGCACATGGATTTGGGGAATCGTGCACCTTCCTCGCTGTGGATTCGTCAGTGACAATCCCGAATGGCACGATAAAACAGATTTCCATGCTTACTTGGTCCAGTTGACCACTCCGACATCATAGTTAGTCTGGAACCCACTTTCCTTCATCGTCCGAAGGACCTCAAGAGCAGCCATGATACCGAGAATACCATCGTACCGACCACCTCGAGGCTGAGTGTCCAGATGACTTCCCATTGCGATCATTGGGGCAGCCGAGTTCAGCCGCCCTGATTGCCGCGCAAACATATTTCCCATCTGGTCCACAGAAAGAGAGCAGCCCAGCTTCTGGACTTCAGCGGCGAACCACCGACGAACGCGGGCATCATCATCATTGAGAGTCAGACGAGCCATCCCTGTATCAGTTGGCTTTCTGTTATGTTGTTAGATTGTGTTCAATGGCCGTATGGGAGATTGGTACATACTCGCCATAGCGATGCTCAGCACCCCATTCACATGTCTCGTGAAGGGTGTTCCATAAGCGCTCCGAATTAATCTTGAGGCCTGATGCTTGTAGTCGGGTGGCAGTAGAGAACCGCCGGGCATTGGAATGAAGGGCGCGTGTTACGCCTTTTGTGCCGTACATTTTGCGGACAAAGTCACACCGGTCAGACAGCCGGTTCTATTGAAAATGCCTGTCTAACTTGAAGCAGATGGCTGGAGTTGAAGAGGTTGGATGTAAAAGGGCTTTATTGAGTTAGAAATCGTCTTCTTAAGGTCGGAGGCCACTCACCAATATATGACACTGACAGCGCCTTCTCATAACAGGTGTGGATACGGTCGCAGCAATGATCAATGTTGCTAGGCTGATTTTTGGATTAGATACTGGAATGGTTTCCACTCGTGCAAGTAATGGCCGAAACCCCTAAGGCCATTGGCAAGGGGTCATCGCCCGACGCCTTCCCGCAACATCTGCGAACCCAAAATCTCTTACTGGAACTAACCATACAGGAGGTTGAAGATAAAGCGCGGCAAAAATGCTTGCTTTATCGGATATTTGTTCAAAGCAAAATTTTTAAACACATTCCAACCATACCAGTACTCCCGTAGACTCACCGCATGGCCAACCAGTGTAGCTATACGCCACTATAGACCTAGAATGATACTCAAATCAACGAGCATGAGGTTAATAAATAGCACCAGTGGGATACCTTGAGCAATAAAAAGCAATGTTTTCCAATTGGTGATGATTGGAACCCCCCTTATAGCCTGTTTTTACTGAGCATATCCTTTACTCCGGTAACAAGAGCCAGTGAGTATATAACCACGGCATGCTGCTCAGGAATTATCGCCAACCCTCCCAGGTTTCCTTGACACCGCTCCTTCCATAGTCTGAAAGAGAGATGGTCGCACCTTCTACGTCTCAAAATAAGCTATTCCCCACTATAAGTCATAGCGGGCTACAAGTAGACCGTCTTCGTTTCGCATGTCCTCGAGTCGGAACTATGCGAACATACAGCGATCTAGCTGCGTCTATTCTTCATGTTAAAATTTGGTCGCAACGGTCTCGATTAATGATACTCCTAGTCCAGGCCCGTCTAAAAGTCATGCGATCCACGCCTTAGCGCGCCGTTAGTCTAAGTACATGTCACGACAGACAAGGGCGGCCGCATGATGAATTTAGCGCTTGTGTGATTTTAAGTGGACCGGCACTGGACGGGTTTGGCGCGAAATGCAGTAACTCCGTATATCTCCCGGCCCTTCCCCCGTGGAATTGGAATTTTCTTGTACAATATATGTTTTGTTGGGGCATCGAGCAAAGCGTGGAGTTAACCCGGTTTTTTCTCGGCCTCTTTCACTATATTGTAGGGACTCGTGGGGACTCGTCCCACAATAATCTTTTGTTCAAATTATGTTGTGCTCATTGGGCAGTTTGGCCTTTCTCCCCGCTGAATTCCAACGATCGTACTATTGTAAATAGTACAAATACAGCTTGATACCCCGTCGGATCGCCCGGTGTAGGCGTGCAGGTCTTGAGTTCGGGCTGCATGACCTCCCTTTTTTTTTTTGTTGGGAAACGAGTGGGAAAGGTGGATCTTAAACAACTCTTTTTTATTTTATTAGAGCAGCGACAGCAGTGTGTTCATTTCGTATCCCACTGATCTTCATGCAGTAGCAGTTACAGAGGGGCGAAGATCCCGCCGTCAAATGTACGATGCATATTACATCGCAAAGCTAGATGCCATCTAAGCCGTGTTAAGAGATTGGAATAAACTCCTCAACTTCGGTCTGTTTCAGATCAAAAATTATTTCTATCTCAAAAGTATTTCCACCAATGCAACTTTGGGAACTGCCCAGGTGAGTAAAAAGTGCAGGGTATATATGTCCTAGTAAGCTGCAAGGTACCCCCCCCCCCCTCAATCATTTTGCTCCCCACAAATACAATCCCATAAAAACCTGCTAGTTAGGTAACATTTAAAAGTGATGAAATAAATTAAAAAGATTAAAATTGTATAGTCTAGTAACTGAACAGTGGACCTACCCATGTGGCTTTAATATTATCCCTCGACTACTACTCCATACCCATACAACATACAACATCATTATTGTACTCACACAATGCCAAAGTTTCAGACGATTAAGATCAACAGCGCCAATAGCGCACAAAAAGATGGAAAAAGGTTTAGCTTACTCATCCACCCCACATCTCCAGTCGATCCCATGAGCCTCCAAGTATGGGGGAATATTCGGTCCGAGGGTCCCCTGACATCATAACATCATATTAAGGTCAAACTGAAAAAGGGTTCTACAATATGAAAGAATACACATATGTACATACTATGTATCTATACATAATGTACGGAGTCGAAGTAAGGATGTCTCCCTAAATATACAAATGCGGCAGCGGCCTGCATTGGTGGGGCAGGAGACGCTTGTATTGAATTGAAACTGACTTGCATTCCCCTGGCCCGCGACCCCGGACCTTGGCTAAAGTGCCTAGGTAGTATGGACTCGGACAAAGGGTTCGACGAGAACAACTGGGCCGTGATCGGTTGAACTTGGCGTTTCTTCCCGGCTATAAACGCCCCAATGAGGGGGCCTGATCTTTAGTCGAAATCTTTGGAGGGGCAAGCTTACCCCGGAGCAACGGAAGGAACCTCCCAACCCCCGCATGGCCGAACCCAAACTCGTATGGGACAAGGCAATTTACTGAATTGGATCGTATTCGGAATGTATCTTATTCCTGATTTGGAAATGGGAGTGGATAATCCGAATGTCCAATGTACAATGTACTTTTCCAGGCCGTCTGCGGCTAGAGGAGACAGCCGGAGTTAGGTACTTAGGTAGTTAGAGTGGTACTGTAATTTATTGTAAGGGGCACGGACCACAGATGAAAAGGGAAGTGGCACATCCTCCCGGGACAGCTGGACTACTAATATTCTCGTGAGTCCCCCTCCTTGCGTTTCTTTTCTCTTTCTCTTCTTAATATCTTCTCTTAATTTGCTATACATACCCTGTTTGATCATTACTCTTTATAACTTATAACCCCTCGACTCTCAGAGTAAGTTCCATTACCCCACTTATCTGCATTAAGAGCTCATCCCACTTTGCTCACTTTTCCGGCAATTCCATGTTCACTAACACGATCTCACGCAGAGTACATATATAGTTCATCCCACATTTATTATTCCCATTGGACTACCGCAATCATGTCGGACGGCCCAATTCAGCCTCCCAAGCCCGCAGTGGTAAGAATCACCTACCTCCAAGACCGGGATGACCCAGACCTGTGTCGCACCGGTGACCGAAGTATTATGGGCTAACAGTTGGTGGTATAGGTGCATGAGGCACACGAGGTCGACACTTTCCACGTCCCCAAGGCGTTCCACGATAAGCACCCCTCCGGCACTCACATCAAGGACCTTGAGGAGTACAAGAAGCTTTACGAAGAATCAATCAAGAGCCCCGACACCTTCTGGGCCCGCATGGCCCGCGAGCTCCTCACATTCGACAAGGACTTTGAAACCACACACCACGGCTCGTTCGAGAACGGCGACAATGCCTGGTTCGTCGAGGGTCGGTTGAACGCATCATTCAACTGTGTCGATCGCCATGCCCTCAAGAACCCAGATAAGGTCGCCATTATTTATGAGGCCGACGAGCCCAACGAGGGCCGTAAGATCACCTACGGAGAGCTGATGCGCGAGGTGTCCCGGGTTGCCTGGACTCTGAAGGAGCGCGGTGTCAAGAAGGGCGACACGGTCGGTATCTACCTGCCCATGATTCCCGAGGCCGTGATCGCCTTCCTGGCTTGCTCGCGTATTGGTGCCGTGCACTCCGTTGTCTTCGCTGGTTTCTCTTCCGACTCCCTCCGGGACCGTGTCTTGGACGCCTCCTCCAAGGTCATCATCACCTCCGACGAGGGCAAGCGCGGTGGCAAGGTCATTGGCACTAAGAAGATTGTGGACGAGGCCATGAAGCAGTGCCCCGATGTGCACACCGTGCTGGTGTACAAGCGCACCGGTGCCGAGGTGCCCTGGACCGCTGGTCGTGACATTTGGTGGCACGAGGAGGTCGAGAAGTACCCCAACTACCTCGCCCCTGAGTCGGTCAGCTCCGAGGATCCTCTCTTCCTGTTGTACACTTCCGGTTCTACCGGCAAGCCCAAGGGTGTTATGCACACCACTGCCGGTTACCTGCTCGGTGCTGCCATGACTGGAAAGTACGTGTTTGATATCCACGACGATGATCGCTACTTCTGCGGCGGTGATGTCGGTTGGATTACTGGTCACACCTATGTCGTGTACGCCCCTCTATTGCTTGGCTGTGCCACCGTCGTGTTCGAGAGTACCCCCGCCTACCCTAACTTCTCCCGCTACTGGGATGTCATTGACAAGCACGACGTCACACAATTCTACGTTGCACCCACCGCCCTGCGCCTGCTGAAGCGCGCTGGAGATGAGCACATTCACCACAAGATGCACAGTCTGCGTATTCTTGGCTCTGTCGGAGAGCCCATTGCCGCGGAAGTCTGGAAGTGGTACTTCGAGTCTGTTGGCAAGGAGGAAGCTCACATCTGCGACGTTCGTTTTCCCCTTACCCTTGGACCTTTTGGAATGACTTCTAATTTTTGGATCTGTAGACATACTGGCAAACCGAGACCGGCTCACATGTCATCACCCCTCTCGGTGGTATCACCCCCACCAAGCCCGGCAGTGCCTCCCTGCCCTTCTTCGGTATCGAGCCTGCCATTATCGACCCCGTCTCCGGAGAGGAGATTGTTGGCAATGATGTCGAGGGTGTTTTGGCCTTCAAGCAGCCGTGGCCCAGCATGGCCCGCACCGTGTGGGGTGCCCACAAACGTTACATGGACACTTACTTGAACGTGTACAAGGGTTACTACGTAAGACGCCTCGCAGCCTGACTTGCAGGATTGATACTAACTCATATATAGTTCACCGGAGATGGTGCTGGCCGTGACCACGACGGCTACTACTGGATCCGCGGTCGTGTCGACGATGTCGTCAACGTTTCTGGACACCGTCTGTCCACCGCTGAGATCGAGGCTGCTCTTCTCGAGCACTGTAAGTCCAACCACAGTACCTGCCAAAAATCGCAACTGAGCCCAAACTAACTATGAACAGC